GAATTAACACTGTTCTTGTTAATGGAATAATTTGTCAGATGCAAGCAAACATTATCTATAAATGAATGAACAAGATACAGGGTTAGAAAGGTATTAGCCACCTCCCTTCTTTTCTACATGATCCTGGTCACACTAGGTAATATACAAAGCATCTTAATTAAGCACAAAAGATTTAATGGCACTGAGTATGATCAGCTCTATACTGATCCCATTACTCTAAAGAACACAATAAATGAGGCTCAACAGCTTCAATTTCACTACACTGCAATCTCATCAGCATTCCAATTCTATCACTTCTAAGAAATCAGCAGTTTCAATTGAAGATAACCCTCTTCCTCAGTCAGGTCCCATTCTAAAATTACTTATTAGTAGAGCTAATTCTGTGTTAGAATGATCCAGAACTACGTATCAGAACCTTTTCCAGACATCAACTAAACTATGATTTCATTTTATAACGAAAATATTGTTATAAAATATCATTTTATAACGAAAAAGAAAAAGAAAATATCATGTAGGCATTTTTTTTTCCTTCCAGAGTTTAATGTCTTATTACTACCTTTTTTCCCCCACAATATTTCATAAAAAAGTACCAAAATTATGCAAAAAGTCAATTAGATATGTATTTATAGAAGTATTAACAGGCCTAAAACTTGTATTCAGCATGGATCTGGATAATATAACACATGCTGTATTCTACTAGAGAATCTGCTCAAATATTTCATGCATAATTTTATTTATGGTACTCCGATGCTACAAAGACAAGTCATGAGCATTTATAAAGTGCTTGGACATTCTCAAGAGAATGATATTTTGGAGTCAAACCATTATGGTTTCTCTGTATTTCTGGTTGCAATGTATTGAACTGTCATTAACTTCTGCTAATAGGCTTGTTTACTTATGAAGCTATTATGCAAAGGGTCAGAGAATGCTGAAACAGCAAAATGTGTAAGTTCCTCATTAAAGGCAAACATCCTCAGAGTTTCACAGGACATCACCAGCATGTAAATCTTCAGATCAAACTTATATCTACCAATCATAAAAGTCTGGGAAGGAGAACATGAAACCAATTTGCTTCTAAAATTGCTTGAAACACATGAACAACACAGGTAACTAATTAACCACTGGAACAGAGGTTACAAAGCCTAGTTAAATGTCTCCCCTGAACTCTTTCCTATTCCGGATATGCTTCCAGCATGGTCTAGCCCAGCTAATACAGAGCTAGGAAAGATATTGTAAATGTCCATTACTGGGGCTTATGTCCCTAACGCTGACCAGACCAGAACTTGGGTCTGCACCATTGGAAGTGTTCTCACTTGATTTAAAGCCTTAGCTATTCTTCATTCAACTCACTATGTGTTTGAAATTCACTTCAAGCATGAATGTTTGAAGGAATGAAACACCAACAACATAAAAGGAGCCTATGGGTCAGTGTAGCCTATCTCCTGCTCAAGAGGATCTGATTTCCTACTTTCTCTTTCAACAAGCCAGAGACTCCATTTGCCCTCCCCTTTATTGCTGTTTTTCAGATTTCCATGGAGTTTCATTATTTTCTTGATACATTCCCTAAAAAACAATAAAGTCAATGCAAAGTCAAGCAAATTTAGCCCTTAAAATAAAGTGTGTCTAAATGTGAACAATAAACCAGAGTAAATTAAGGTTCTTCCTCTAAAATTATTAGAAGTTCAAACAACTTGAGGCTTCCTGAGGTTTGTATATTAGACTTCATTAGGAACATGACTTAAATATCAATTAAAAACACTTCGGTGAGAGAATGCTAGGAACTGCACAATAGGGCTTAACCAGACTCATGAAAAATGAGTATTGCTTAAGTGCTCATTCACTCATGAGGGATAAACTTTTCCCTGCCCAATTTGTCTATCCTGAATAGCCTGAATTCTTGTCAAGGCGATTCAATCTCAAAATATTAGAAGCCATTCCTGAACAAGAGTTTACGCAGTAACATGTAAAGTAGACATTTTTGTTTTGACAGTGATGAATTCTTTTGACAGTGATGAATCTGAAGAAAATGACCAGTGAATACTATTGATGGCTGACTGACCACATCAAAGCAAGGCTAAACTGGATATTAAAACAGTAGCTCAGTGACAGAACAGCAATCTTGAAACATGGAATGGAGTGGTTACCCTTGAGATGTAGACCTGGCAGATCCTATCCTGCCCAGGTTTTGTCCTCAGTTTTGGTGACAAGTTGCTTCTCCACTGACAGCCAAAGTCTAGTTTGCAGATATAAGTCTGTATTTCCTTGCTATGCTATTGGGCTGCAAATTGTCGTAACTATGAGGAGGAAAACAGAATAGAGAGACTCTAAAAGTTATGAAATAATTGCATTAAAGCTGCTTTCTAAGGTAGATTTTCTAGACCTAGTTTTTCAATCTTTTGCAACTTACTGTAACAGCAAAATAGGATTGTAAGGCACTTATAATGGTGAAAAATCAGGACAACCTTCCCTCCACTCTCCACACTTAGAAAAGTTTTAAGTGACAATTGGGTATTTTTCCGTATTTATTTTCCAGCACTAGTTTAACAGAAACAGAACTATGTGCTCTCCTCCAGCACAGAATATTAATCTTTGTCTAGTTCAGGAAAGGTTTCTACTGTTATGTTGGAAGTTCACAGAATCATAGAATAGCTTGGGTGGGAAGGGACCTTAAAGACCATCTAGTTCCAATCCTCCTGCCATGGACAGGGATGCAATGCACTAGATCAGGTTGCCCTGGGCCCCATCCAGCCTGGCCTTGAACAATTCCAGGGATTGGGCATCCACAACTTCACTGATCCAGTGCCTCACCACCCTCTGCGTGATGAATTCCCTCCTAACATCTAATCTAAATCACCCGTCTTTTAGTTTAAAACCATTCCCCCTTGTCCTATCATTGTCTGCCTTATCAAAAAGTTGCTCTCCATCTTTTTATAAGCTTCTTTTAAGTATTGAAAAAGCTGCAATGAGGTCACTGCGGAGGCTTCTCCAGGATGAACATCCCCAGCTCTCTCACCCTTTCTTCATAGGACTCCTACAAAGTTTCTTCATAGGAGTTCTAAGAAGTTTATTAAGTTAGCACTTAATAATATGCAAATAACAAATTAAATCAGACAGGAAAAAATAATCGTGCCAAGAAAGTCAAGCTTTAGAAAGTATTTACTCCGCAGAAAGACACCTGCTTTACCACCCTGCTCTTGTTACTAGCCTGGAACTCTTTTCTACAGATCTCACTGCTTCTGTGAAAGCAGCTAATTTTCTGAGTAAAGAAACAAGGAAAAAAACAAACCAACAAACTAACCAACCAAACAAAAATAAAACAACAAACAACAATAAAAACAAATAAACAAACAAACAAAAAAAAACACCTGAATCTTGATCTTTTTTTTTTTCCCAATCAAAAAGTGACCATCATACGTATAAAACACTGCTGGATACACACTATCCAGCTCACTCTCATAAAGACTTGATTATTTTTCATTTCCATTAACCAATCTGTTGAGATGGTATAGCCTGTTCAGTATGCTGTCCATTCCTCATTCTCTCTTGCTCCCTGAAAACCTTACCATCTAGCAGCTCCATGCACTACATCATAAAGCAGAAGCAGTTTCAAGAGAATGAATATTTGCAGTTTCAGACTTTGTCCTCTGAGGGAGATGTATCATCACCTTTCAGTTAGACCTTGGCAATAAATCAAGGTGGATTGCTTCTGTTTGCTGTGGATGTATTATTTACTAACTGCCTGTTTTAGATGTCAATCTGAGCAATTAGCCATAAATGACTACCAAGACAAACAATTTCTTGCAGTTTCAGAAGCCTCATAGTAGCCAGCAACAACTGCTAGGACAAACAGCGCCATTGATATTCCTGGTGAGTGGTAGAAAACAAAGATTCCTAGAATATGAGCCTGAATAACGCTTTATTTGAATTGGGAACAGAGCCATCTGTAGTGCTTCTTCGTGTTCTGCACTCAAGGCACGAGTCCAGACAGTGCTGGCACGAACTCACAGGCGTATTAAGTTTTGACTTCTTGCCTAGCTTCAGTCATTATGGGAGAAATATGTGTAACACTCACAAGCAAGTCCTTTAAAAGGATTAAGCGTTAGAGAGAGCGCACGCTTGCAAAGAGCAAGTGTCAGAACAACAGAGGCCGCTCTGGGGGCAGTGAACATTTGGCTACCGACCGGCTGCGTGCGGCGGCAGCGAGCTGCAGGAGGGGAGCTCTGAGGCGCTGCCGGACCCCGCCAGGCCACACGCAGGCTTTTGGCGAGCCGCGCGCCCCGCGGCCTTTGAACGCCGCTGCGCTTCTCCTCCAGGAACCGACCGCAGCGCGACACAGGGGCCCCAGCGGCGCCTCCTCGGCACCGGCGCCCAGCCCGGCAGCCCCGCGGGGCCCTGCCCGGGGTACGGCCCGGCGGCAGCGGGCTGCCAGGAGCGCCTTCACGAGGGCCGCCGCTCCCCGAAGCCCCCCCAGCAGGCTCGGGGGCACCGGGAGGCGCTGGCACCCGGCAAACCCCGGAGGCGGCCGGGCCGCGCCGTGCCCGCGGGGCCTGCGGCAGCCCCCGCCCCTCCCCCCCGGCCCCGCCTCACGCGGCGGGGCGGAGCCGGAACCCACCCTGTTCCCCCCCCCCCCCCCCGTTCCCCCCCCCCCCGACGCCTTCTGATTGGGCAAATCGAGGGGCGTACCCTCCGCCCCGCCCCTTTATTAACATATTGCCGCTCCATTGGGCCGAGCGACCGGGAATGTCTGTGATTGGGCATACGTAGCAATGGGGAAGGCAACGAGACGACGTACTGGCATCACTGGCGTGCGCTAGGGGCTGCCCATGCGCATTCCGGCGCCCCCAAGTCCCGCCCCCGAACGAATGGCTCGCTAACCGCCCCCCTGCCTTTGAACGGCCGCAGCCAATCACAGCCGCGAAGCCCGGGCTTATTTGCATATTCATGAGGCGCCGGGGCTGCGAAGGGCGTCTGGGAGGGGCGGGCAGCGGCGGCGGCGGCGGCAGCGGCGCTGCTGCTTCACGGCCTCTGAGGCGGCCCCGCTGCGGCCGGGGCGGGGGAGGGGAGGGGAGGGGAAAACCGCGCCTCTGGCCCGCCTGGGGACCGCTGGGGGGAGGCCGGACGAGAGGCGTGAGGGGAAGCGAGTGCCCCGCGAGGCCCGGGCCGGCTTCGTGGAACGTGCGGGTGGCGGAGCCCCCGGCGGAGCCACAGCGCTGCTGGTCCCCTGCCCGTGAGGCCACGGCGCCGGGCCGGGCCTTCGGGACGCGGGTGTGAACAGAAGCTCGCGGGCTCGCCTCAAACATTGAAACGGGTACAAAAGCCACCCGAAAGAAGCGATATCGAACCCAAACGGCCAGCTTGGGGAAACGGCAGCGAGGTGCTGAAATCCGCTGGAGCCGCTGACACAGCGGGCAGCGCCGCCCACGTCCAGAGTTTGCGGCTGTGTTAATTCTGTTGCCGTGGAAACGGACGGAGAGTGCTAAAAATGGAGCAGGTTGGTCTAAGCTAATTGTTAGACACACAAAAAAACTTGGATTCCCCCCACCTTTTCTTTTTTTTTTTTTTTTTTTTTTCAAGATACCGATTCCTTTAAACTAACCTTCTCCATTTCCATGGCAGCCAGCAGCAGATTTACTAGAATTCATTTTAAATTTTACAATCCTGGTATGTGTCATGAGGTTAAGAGTTTTCCAACAGTTTCTGCAGAGTTAAAGATCCAGTGAGCTCCTTAGATTTATTTCAGCAATCTGTAGCATACCCAGTAAGATACATCCAAGTGATATATTGGTATAGAACTCCTACGTTAAAGCAGTGTGTTTTTCTCTTCTGCTGCTTATAAACACAAATGTTAGAGCCTTTATTGGGACTAGAGAAATTTTCATTCAGGATCTCACAGTGATGCATCAGATCTATATTCTGTCTCCTACTGGGCCACATGTTTTAGGATAAAATGCAAGAATCTCGTGTTTAGGCGTTGTCTTAGACAAGTGCTCTGAGAAATATAATTTAATATATCTTTCAAAGTTAATGTATTTTCCAAAATATATGCTAGCACTACAACTCTGAGTATTCTTATTAAAATTATTCTTTTAAGAACAGAGGGGTGTTCTAGTAGGTAGCTTGCAAGGAAGTTTGAGTGTCACCATTTTGACTGGTTCATTAAAAAACAAAAACAAGCACCCACAATACAGGTAATTAAAATTATTTTGTAATAACAGAGAAGAAACTTCTTGAAGGTGTAGAAAACACTGAGCTGCCTCAAAGAAGATGCTGATATTCTCTGGATGATTTAGTGAAGAGCCCTTCATCCAAATCTTTCCAACATTTTGTATCAGATCGATCCTCACAATCACACTCTTTAAGGAAGGATTGTCAAATTTAATGAATTCATTAAGACAAACATGGATTCATATACACTGCTACAACCATGCAATAACTTTCAGGATTAAAAATCCATCTGGCTCTCTCAGCTGTACTGTCTAACATGCAGTACCTGCTCTCAAAAATACGCTAATAACTGTTAATAAAAATAGAATTAACTATAATGCTTACAAAAATGCAGCTTACTATTATAGAAGCAGTTTTAGTGTAAAAATAATGTTCAGAATCTTCAGACACCATCTTTTTGTCTTTTTCTTTGTCATTATTTGTTTCTGGTTGCATTTAGATGCCATAATCATGACCAAGGCCCCACAGGAATACACACTATAAAAGCACATGCAATATTCTAGTCTCATCCTGTTACCGGGGAAGGGATGCAGGCAGAGTATGAGACATACAGATATAGGTGCCCCAGGGCTTGAGTTATCAACCCTCTCTCAAAGCAGCTGCTCCCACTGGCAAATCTCTTATGGCTCAGAGGAGAACTACAGGCTGATGAACCCCACCAGGTTTTTCAGACTGGGAAAACCATTGGGAAGGGTTAAAAACTCCCTGGGGTTTGAGGGACATCAATCCCTTTTGACAGGCATCCATTTTTTTCTCCATCCTGGCTCACTTCTTGTGCTGTGCAGCCTTTCTCAAAATGAATGTTAAATCTAGTGAGGGAGAGGGGGATTATGCCACAAATTTTCTGTGAGATTGGCTGAATTCCTTCATGTCTACATAGCTGTTTCCCTATCTATTACACAGAGTCAATATTTAATCGTGTTTATATATATATATGTATATAAATATATAAATGACCTACTTCTTCAGTGCTTGGGAGGTTCATAGAGTCATGGAACCATAGTAATGTGGAAGGAGCTATATTTTAGAGTAATTAATTTAGCATCTGTGTTGTTGATGGCTTTACAGTATTTTAGGCTCTCAGTACCAGATTAGTAATTATATAAAACTGTAAGCCTTGGGTACTCTGAAGCTAGTGGAAGCTTTGTCATCCATGTCATTTTTTTATTTCTGTTACATGGTAAGCCAAGGTGGAAACCTACATTTAAGCCTAAAGTGATCTTGCGTACAAATTTTAGTAAGTTCTGGAGCTTGAGAGGAGAGAGAGTCCACGTGATCTCTTAAACAGGGGACCATGCAGTGCCATCTACTTTGCAAGTGGGATGGGCACCAAGTATTCTTGATCCAAGCCAATCATATTATATCCCATAATGTCATACAGTCAACAGAGAATGGATGAGTGAGCTCAAGCTCCTTCCTAGAAAACTTTAGTGTTATATATGCAGCAGGGTGCTATGATCTCTGCACACAGCTAAGCTATATTTCAGGGTGGATGAAATTTGGGTCAAGGGACATCGTATTAACCCAGTTTCTGGCCAGGTTCAGGGAATCATAGAAGCATTGCTATTTGGATCAGGATGCAGTGTTAAATTTTCACTGAAGGCAGTTTGGTCTGGCTAGGAAGGTTAAAAATTTCATCTTGAAAAGAGTTCTCTCTTACTAACAGCAAGAGATTGTCTACGCAGTATCACTGCAGTAGCTCTACTGCTTAAATTGTGATGAAAAAATACCAAAACCCTGTATTTGCTGAGATTTACTACTTCACACACTAACAGAGCAAAATGTAAACTGCAACACAACCATCTTTATTCCACGAGCATCTCTGGTTCTGTTATTCCCCTTCTCAAGTCCCCCTGGGTGAATAGCCCTTCCCCCTCACCACACTGAATAGGCCAGGTGACTCCAAAACCAGCCACCCAGCAGATGCTTCCGCAGTACCAACTGTTCTGAATCCCCCAGCCCATCTCCAGCTTTTTTTTTTCCCTCCTTCCCCTGTGTCCTACCAATCTAGGCTGCCTGGCACATGCTGCAAGCTGCAGTCCCACTGGAGTGATATTGTGATGGAAATGAGGGAGGGGATCCAGGCAGAACTGCACAGATTTACAGCACTCTAAGGGTTTCCATTAAAAACCTTGACAACTTGTTATTTATGAGTAGACGAACAGCTCTTCTAATACCCAGGGCCTAGATCCCATTCACTTCAATAATGCTGGTTTGGAATAAATGAGCCAGAGGATGGAAACCAGTTCTGTTAGTATAATGGAGATGGCTAATAGCTGTTTAGAGAAAACAACTGATGTAATTCTGGGACCCAGCCCTTTCACCAACAAAACTATAAAGGTTTGGTTCTTCAGTGCATTTCACGTAGTGATTTAATTCAGTACAAAGAGAGTCATAAAGAGTAGTGTTCTGATTTCATGCCATTATATACCCACTTTGCACTGTCTATTTGTGCTAGTGCACTGGAGAAAAAGGGACTCATTGTACAAGCAAGAATGTCTCAGTTTGGATCTCTACAGCAAAACATAGATAAATAATTTTCTCCTTACAAAAGAATATAAGCAAAAAAAGAGCTCTGCGTAAGTATAATATCTTCATTTTTGATCCTCACAGGGACATGGGAGCATTTCCTTTGCCAGATTTTTCTGAGTTGCCCCATCTAACCCAGCATGGCAGTCTACCGGTGTCATTTTAAAACCGTTTTTTTTAAACCACGATTACATCCTCTATTCTCTTCCCTTTTCCATCATTGACTTGACAAATACAGAAGCAGTGCCACGTACTAAGCAGTACAGGCCCAATCCCTGAAATAAGGACTTTGATGATCAAAACACTTTAAATCCTAGGACGTGCATTGTGCTGCTGTAAAGAATTACCCATCTCTTCTGCAGAGTCTTAAAATCAGACACATTGATTAACAAGTGTAACCACTCAATTGCTGGCTTGGACACTGCTTTCCTTTTTCTCTATTGTTCACCTGTGTCTTGTCTATTTACATTCATTTTGTTGGGAATCTTTTTATTTCCTTTCTGTTTTCTGTGCTTTACATTAGAGCCTCAATAAGGTGAAGTGAAGAGAAGCAGCAGCAGTGCTGCCAGACTGTGTTCTTGCAGCACTGCCAGAATGGACTGGGCTCCATGCTTCCTGTGTTCTCCTGCACCCAGGATCTCAGCACTGTGATTTCAGGGGAGAAGGACAATGCTGAAGGGGCAACTTGTTCTGCAGGAAGAGGGGGGGAAGACGTGGACAAATGAAGAGAAAACAGGAGGAGAAAGGGCGGAGGAAAGAGGCTGCTAAAGAGAGAAGGTGGCTGTAAGATTGTGAATATCACTTTGTGAAAGGAACAGAGACAGCAGCAAGTTATCTTAGCAGCCTTTCAGATACTCTGTCAAGGCTGAAAGAGTGTGAGACTCTGGAATCTGTAACTGTCTCTCTTGTGGCCAGTCTCTTTTTTTCTGCAGTGAAAATAACTTCTCAGGCAAACAATGGCCTTTCCTATGGAAAGAACTGACATCAGTTAGTATGTGATAACCTCTGTGGCCATAGTTGGTATCCACAGCATGCCTTTGCAGCTCGAAGATTTTATCATCTGGTTTGTATTTTACACACAAAAATACCTATCAAGTTAAAAATGATTTTACATGGAGAGAGATACTCAAAATGTACTCTATATGAGTGGGAGAGAGAAGGTCCAAAGGAAGAACCAACTTCTTGTAAAACATGGCCAAAAGAGCTGACAAAAAGTGAGGGAGAACCAAGCAAAGCAAGATGAATGTCTGAGTGGGTTTGCCTAGTTGGGGGAACAGAACACACCATGCTGTGCTGGGACAGTGGCTGCTCACAGAAACCAAACCTAAGCTGGACCAAACTGATAAGCCCTGTAAAGGTGTAAGGAGGTAGTAGAATTTATATCCTCAGGCATTTGGCCCACAAAGTATAGCTCCTTCCTTTTAGATACATTTATAATAAAAGACCATTCAGATTCTATGTGAGTTTGGGCATAAATTATGCCAAACCCCTACTGTCCCTTTTGAAAATTTATTTCAATGTCCGTATGCGCGATTTATGTCAATGTAAATTCGACCTCATCCAGAGTATAACTATACCTAATTATCAGCCATTTGAGCTACTTCTGTATTAAACTATTAAATTGAAGTAGGATTGAAGCCTCTTATGATTCCAAATGCTAAATACAGCATTAGCATAAATAAAACTGTAAAATACAAGCAAAATGAAGATTTACTTAGAAAATATATAATGTAATTTGTGCTTATGGGTAAATTGGTTCCTGGCTGCCCAGGATAGGGACGGTATGACCTGCATCAGGCTGAAGTATATGTCTTCGGAGTCTGAATCTGCATTATTATTACAGAAAACAAATGACATACCTTTAAACGTTTAAATTCAGCATCCTTATGAGATTTATTGCAGTCTGACCCCCTCTGCTGGCGACGTGTTTGCTGTCAGTGTACCAGAACCTGCACTCCAAAACAGGCTCTGTGATAGAGGTGATGGGTGCTGGCAAGCAGAAAATGATAGGTACCAGCATAGAAGGGATGGAGAGTTGGCAGTGCAGGGGCACTGACAGTTCAAGGACACAGACAACATCGTGGCATAACTCTAACCCCAAATTATTGGGTTTGGCTTTAGGATTTGAGCCACTAAAGCCAGTTCTAGCAGAAGCGTAGAAAGGCAATAGGTCTGGTAACTGGTATTAGGGTGAACTATCGGGGTTTTAATAAAGATTGTTTTTGTGACTCTCCACATTTGTTTTGCTTCTGTCAAGATGTAAAGCAGTAAAAGGCAAATGTAATTTGAAATAAGGACATACAGAAAAAAGTTGAAGAGGGGATTTTCTTGAAAAACAATGGGGCATTTCCTGAGGAAACAGGTGCTCAGTTAAAAATTGGCCTCATTATGATAGAATATTTGTCAAAATTGGGAAGAAGTCATGTCAGGAACGTTGATATATGCTACAGTAACCAATAATGTCAAAACATGCACAATACCAAGTATACGCACAATATAAAAAAAATATTTTAGTGTCTAGAGTGAGCATTTTTTCAACTTTTTCTTTTAGTCTATGGAAAAAATAAATGTTGATACACTGGATGTCCCTATGACATAGCAGAAATTCAGCCAGCTCTAGGCTTTTAGATCAGCAGTACTTGGAACTGATATGAACAAACAGATCCCATACAACTCATTCTACTTTCTGGATTTGTTCGTGCTACCTCATACTTTTTTGGCTTTCTTGATATATTCCCATGCTGCGAAGAACCAGTGAGGATCAGCCAGTTAAATATGTCTTGTTAAACAGAAGCAGTCCCACTAACCACAGAGATGCTATGTTACATGCTAAAAAATATTCAGAGATGTGATTGAGCGCTTTGTTCAAGAGAAGCTTCACAAAGTAATTAAAGACCCCATCAATTTCCCCAATTTATTTCAGAAAAATAGACAGTCATCTTTTTCAAGGATTTTCTCAGTACAGTTTTCATTTTTAACAACAACTATTTTCTGTTACATTTTCTTTTTAAAATAATGCTTTCCAGTATAGTACATCTTAAAGACAGAAATACTCTATTTAAACATAGGTTGATAAAAAATATGTATAAACAAAACAGTAAAACATTTTGAAGTCTTTCTTACTCTTAATAGTCTTAAAACTCTACGTAAACTATGTAAACATAGGATTTTCTATTGCTTCAGATATTCAGCAGGAAATCCAGTCTAATACAGCTGGATAATAAAATTTCACCCATTTATGTTTGCACAGACTAAATAACTGTTAATCATAACTTGAAAATCCCAAAGCAGAAATAAGAATAGTAACTGGATAATCTGTTTACAAAGTATTGTAATATTCCAAGGCACTTAGCAGTTTTGAATCAATGTTTTGGTTTCAGAATAAGCTCTTCTTTTTAAATCAATTAGGTTTAGAAACATTGAAGAGAAATAATCCAGATTCATCACTTCCTTTAAATGAGGATGCCCAGTTTCAAGACAAAGAGGCCATTTATCCTCACCACTGTTAAGAAAACTCAGTTACTGCTTTCCTATTGGCTCCATGCCATGCTGACCTTTCCTGTTTCAGAAATTTCAGGGTTCCTTCATTATGAGATGGATGCATGACAGTGTCAGATTGCACAAGCACAGTTTAAGTGTATCACCACTTTAAGTCTGGTCATATAGAGAAAAGGGAAAACAGTGAATGCACCGTGTTGTACAAGCTATATTGCCTACTTTGCTGTAAGAAGAGCCCTAGACCTTTAGATCTAGAAACAGGTATTTAGTCTCTTTATAAATATATTTCACTTGTTCTGTGATTGATGACAAAAGAAAGTAAAATGTATTTTCATTTAGAATTTATATTTATTAGCAATTAAATCAGTATTCCAGAAGCTGAGCTGGACTGAAGGTGTGATCCTAAAAGACTACGCAATGTTTCTTGTCTTTGGTTAGCAATCACAGTGCTATATTGAAGAATAAAATCGTTATAATAAAGATTTATCAGCCAAGTACAGAAAACTGTTGCATTACATCTATTATTTGGCCCTACCTAGATAAACAGCTACATAGACAATCCTGTTATGAAGAACTGGTACCACATTCAACTACATTACTAATGATAGGATTTGTGACTCGTTTAAAAAGCACATACATTTGATCCAAGACGGAGGACTTAAGTTGATGACAATTCAATTTCAGGATATGGATATTTGACCCAATTATACACATACTGCATGGAACAGAAAGCTCAGAATCACAGCACTAGTAGCATATGCAGTTTTGTCAGGTTGCTCTTATTAGTATGAATCAAGTCTATAGAATACTTTTTCTCTATTCTATCCTGTGGCCTCTGCCACCTATTCTACAGAACAGATAGGAATTCAGAATTATTCCAGGTCATGGCAAAAAATATGGTCATCAAACACCTGCTGATTGGACTTTTCAAAGGTCTCATTGCAGAGTGGGCACTCCAGAAGATGGCTGTGCACATGGGCCTCATAGTCACTTGCTTCAATATCTTCAGGAAATATGTCATCACACATGGGGCATTTCCTTATAGAATCCTGAAGTACAAAGGAAGTGCAAATAAAGACAGTTTAAGATTTGTATTCACATTCAAAGAGAAGAAAAAGTTCATTAGTCAGACATTATCTGCTTTGGACAAGTCTTTCTTACTTGCAATACTCTCAAGTTTTCAAATGTTTTCAGGCTTCTGTAAATAGTACTTACAAGTCAAACTTCTAAGAGGTATTCTAACTTTCCATCCTAAATAACACATGTCCATGTCTGCAATATGAAATAAGGCATTTAGCAGCTGCATGCTTCTCATTCTGACACTAGATGCTGCCAAAAATTGTTCCTTAAAGATTAAGGTGAACAGAGCTTCCTTTCTCTTCCCTAACACCACCAACCGTTATTACAACAACTTAATCCTACAGGTTAAGCATCCATGATTCCATTTTGTTGTCCACTTTATTACCAGGACTAAAATGGTATGTAGACAACAGGCTACAGAGCTGAACATGTAGCTCCTCATTTCAAATTGTTAATTTCTGTCTGTAAACCACTAATTCATGTCCATTCACATCCACTTTACTTACTGTTCTGGCAGCTTTTGACTCCAGGTTTGCTTCTGCAGCTGGAAAAGAAAAGTTCATTTAGCCACTACAAATGATTAACAATGTAATGTACTGATAAATAGTAATTCTTGAAACATGAGTATGTGGCCCTGGTCTAGACCTCTATACTTAGGACTATGAAAACTGGACATAAACCACAGAACTAGCTGTCTCACAGATTAATAAACTATCTAACAGTTGTTTCTCTTCATAGAAGATGAACAGACAACTGATGATTTAAATCAACTCTTAACACCTGGCAGCATTTTGCCCAGTCACCTGCACACACGCAAAACTATGCAGAGGTACTGCTAAGAATTTATTTTCCACAGCATCCAATTCAAGAGGGAGGACAACTTGTTGAGACTTTTACTACCATGGATTTGTGATTTCAGACAGACTGCCAAGTACTCTTACCGTAATATGGATTACCAAACACAAGGCATCCTCCTTCAGGAGCTGAAACTGGGGCCTGAGCTTGTGAAGCAGCAGAGAAAGAAGAAACATCTCTAGTCTGAGAGAGATGCCTCAGAAGGGTATCATTCTCTTCCCTCAGTTTCTGCAAAGGGACAGGAGGATAGAATCAATTTCCAGAAGCTCGGAAGACCATTTCAGAGAGAAGTTATACTTTGCACTAACATAGATCCTCTTAGACCAGAATCAAGATTGCTCTTCCTTTAGATAGCTCAGTCTTAGTCCTGCTTGACGGAATGGGAAAGTGAGGTAAGGAAGTGCAAGGATCTATTCTGTGACCTGCTCAGGAAGGCAGACAGGATGACTACAATACAGTAATACACTTTAGAAGACGGAAGACTATTCTGAAGTCATGCAGATAATGGCAGAGTAAGGAACAACACCATAGAGTCACTTTCTAGACTGGATGAAAAAGCTACATTCATTTAAATGAGAAAGCCCATTCATTTCAGTGAAATAACAGGAGTTTTTGAAAATCCCCACACTATTACGGGTGAACTGGTCTCATCTGTGGTGGGGGAAAAGGGTGGAACTTTTCCTTCCTCTTAGGCTGTACAGAGGTAGCAGCAACAACAGACTGAGAGTGAGCACATGGTCATGCGGACTGTGTGAGCACTATGTGCATGCGGACAGCATGGCAGCCTCGTTTTAGGTGATAGTCCACGTACAGACACAGTTAGTGATCAGCGTGTAGAAGGTTTAATGGAACTGGATATTAGACTATGATATTTGTGTCAAACTCAATGCAGAAGAAAGGTGAGGGAGCTGTGCCAAGTTCTCACCTGTTTTTCCTCATCAGATTCATTCTTTTTTGCTTGCAACATCTGAAACAAACGCCTCTGCTCTTCAAGTTCTTTCATTAAGTCCCTGTTTTGTTGCTATAAAGGAAGAGGATTATTTGGTAAATTGTGGAAAACTAGCAAACAAAGATCTATGACAGCTCCAGTCATTTTTCACATATACAGGCCGCCTCTACCTGCATTTATTACCAACAAATAAACCTTTGCTTGCACCACAAGTCTTACCATTTCATAGTTTGTGACCTTGGATATCTCCGCATTACCAGCCACTTAATGTCTGCATTTTCAGTACAACATGAGAGATGACATGTGACCTCCAAAGAGGACATACGACAGGTCAAACAAACTGGGAGGTTAAAGAAAGGGAACTATGGCTGGTGAAAAATCTACACTGGCACATAAGAACTCTCCAAGTCTGCCAAATTCTCTGGTACTGTTGACACTTGCATTGACTGTGGATAGCTAGTACCTCCTTAGGAATCGGTGTTGTACCTAAATCTTGATTTAAATCAGTAAATCAGATAGGCTAGAGTACTTAGGGATTCAGCAGTCATTCTCAAAGTATCACTCTAAAAATCCTGAACATTTGGCATCACAATGGAGGTAATCACATAATGTATTTTAGGCATCTAACTTTCAATGTCAGAAATAGAGTAGAGCCTCCAAAAGTGTCCTGAGCAGCACACACAGAGAGAGGAGCACCTTTAGAAGGTCACTCAGGGCAACAGGCTTAAGAAGATGATGGGACAGCCTCAGACATCACCAGCGATAGTTCAGTAGAAAGAAAATGTCACTGCATGTTTCCCTTTTCTAACGTTCACAGTTCTTCATGTTGTGATTTTCAGTGCTGAGGTTTGTGGATTACTTGTCAAAGATCTGCAGAAGTTACCTAAGAAAAGCAAGCCTTTTGACCATAAATTTAAATTTGTTACACATATAGGCATCTCTAACATCTCAGGGAAATTCTGATTGTTCTGCAAATTGAAAATGGGTGGACAACGTTGCTTTAAGTAAATGTCAGCTTCCCTACACAAATACCAGCAGATTCTATACAATACAGCAGAGCTCTGTGCTCAGCTCTTTTGGAACCATCTCCCCAACTTCACCCCCAAAAATGCTGGGCACCTGCTCATTCTGCAGACGAAGTGACAAGTTGGCCTCTGTCCCTTTCAAGTTCTCCAAGCGATGTTCGAGCTCCTTCTTTTGCTCTTTCTGCACAGAAATCCCAGATTTTCAAAGGCAATGTCAAAGAAAAGAGGTGTCAGGTAAGGATGTGGGGCAGAGCATCAAACTATAGAATAGAAACTTTGTACTGTTTACAGCTTTTTGGGGGGCATTCTGACCATATTTCATCTTTTTATTTTATTGATTATTCAATGCTAAATCTATGATTGTAAAGATAATAAAGGGGCAAAAACATAATCAGACAGTAGACCACCATGGTTGCTGCCTCCCACCAGTTACTAGTAGCTTCCTGTTGGATGCAAAATTAATGGCATATAGTCTAAGCAGATTTAGGATAACTTGTCTTGTTTACACATAAGTCCCAGTCCTGAAACAGTTTTGCATATTTGCAACAATTTCCACTCAGCCAAATATCAGTTCTGAGTTCCCAATTACCTACTTCATCCCTTGAGCTGGCTCAAAAGAGATGAAGACAGAGACTGAATTTTCTCTCTAGAGAATCAGCATTACAAAATTTAGTTATACAGAGATGTTTCTTCAAAAACCACAACGTATGTGTGTACCATAAGAATTTGTCAGATGGTTTGTTTGCAGAACCACCTATGTGGATTCCCATGCCACCATGGAGACTGTTTGTCAAGGAATCTCCCAGACTTTTCATAAGATTGAGCAATATTTGTGCCTGATTACTGCCAAGAACACCTCTCAGCCTCTATTCCCTGGCTTCCCCAAGCACCTTGATATTCAGGGAAGGTTTTACCTGTTGAGTTACAGTCATGCGTAACTGACGATTCTCTTCCTTTAAACTTTCAAGCTGCTCAGTCTTGTCATGGTCCATACGAACCAGGTTATCCATGTCTTTCTCATAATTCAACACCTGAGACTAGGGAGAAAGAAGAATGGGCAGAAAGTGAAAATTTAATAGCTATGAGTGAGACACACAGGCCCCTTTTGCTGCACAAAGAAAATCACCAGAACCCATGGCTACTTATTTTTTTTTCCATTAAAAAAACTTTGTAGAAAATGAGAATAGTTACATGGGGATATATCAGAGTTGATAAATGCACTAAAACTTGGTATTCACTCATATGTTAGTTGAGGAGCTTTCTACATTTTAAAATGTCACTTCTAGTCTTGGAATTCAGAGAGTAAAGAGAAAAATAGTGGCTGTTTAGCCAGATGGTTAGCCTATTATTCTGGGTTTCCCATATCCTACATATAACAAACAAGCTATTTTCAGTTTACCTTCTACCTTCACATACCTCCCAGATTTTGTCTTTTCACCCAATATTGAACATAATTTTAGAAAATTTTTCAAAACAGAAGTGTTTTCTGCCTGGATCCTTACCTAGCAGGAGGTGAACAATGGTATGATTTTGGTCAACTTAATAAGCACGCAAAGGGAACGTGTTTAGGGACTAAAATCCGTGTAATTTCTTTTAGCACATCCCACACTACCCTTCCTTCCATAATAGAGCTTTCTTGCGGTTTCCTGGACATAAACCGTATCAGAGGCTGACATTTTCCAAAAAAAAATCCATATAACCAGAGAAGAAACTTATATATCACATATTTGCTCAAGATTGCACAGCTCTCTGTCAAACTGAGACCATCAGACCCAGTTCACAAAAGCAAAGGAGGGCAGCTATATGTTTTCTACCTGCAGCTGGTCCATGTGATCCAGGGCTGTTTTCAATCTGGTTTCCAAGTTTACCTTTTCAGAAGTCACATTCTGAATTTGCTCTTTGAATCTACTCAGAACAAATCAAAACACACCATACTTTCATAAATGGAAATTTAATCCACAAAGGTAAGGTGCTTAATGAAATACTGTTTTAAGAGATGCTGTAAATACACTTACTGGTGCAGTTCTGCCTCTCTGCACTCATCTAGCTCTTTTAGATGTTTATTTTCCTTTTTCAGGGAATTCAACTCCAGCTCCAGTTTTTCTGTGCTGCTCCTAAGAGACTCTAAACCATTCTGCAGCTTCTGAAAATCAAAGACAGGTCAATAGGAGGCAAAATGGGACCCAAGCAATAGTCCTGCTCTGAAGTGGAACTGCAAAATCCCTCTGATGCAACACTTGCAGGCTGCCCAGCTTAAGGAGAAAAATCTCTCCTTTGCATCTTTCAGACCCTGTTTTATTTATATTAAGTCCTGAGCTAAACTGAAGGAGGAAACAATAATGATGAAGAAACATTAGGAACACGGATGGCCTTTCAATTTTGGGACAGCCTACAGAACAGTTCTGAAAACTCCCCTTCCCATATGTTCATAATCCATTTTTCTTGTGATGCCTCTTGTTCAGCATTATCATTCTTATTGTAGTAGAGGTATTGTAATATTTGGTAAATGATCAAATAAATAATACAGGGAGAAACTTCCTTAATTTTCTCCTGGAAGCATACAGTGGAGCAAGACCTGACTCAGTCTCTCTTCATCTTTCAGACTTAAAGCTTCTGACTTAACTTTTGTTGTACCTGTGTCTTCTTGAGCTCTTCTTGCAGTTCTGTGTTTTGTTTCTGGAGACTTGCGCAGGTTGCTTGCAGCTCCTCATTTTCTTTAAGCAAATTTTTGTTTTGTAGTTCAATCTCTTCCACTTCTCCCTGGCAAACAACAAATTTGTTTAGTCATCATGGAAACATCAAAAAGCTATCTTCAGAAGAGCACAATATGATGAGCTAAAAAAGACGAATTCTGCAAAAGGGAACATAATGTACCTCCTCATGTTTTCATTATTAGTTCAGACCAGACTGCTACTTCACTATCCATAGTCTGTCCAAAGCTGACCATCAACACAGTCCTTGAATACCAAGCACACACTACCTCTGATCTTTTAAGATGCTCAATCTTAAAGCAGAGGCAGAAGTCTGCAATTTTTTTTGTAGTTTGTAAGATTAGGACCGTCAATTATTGTCCATGTGTATGTTCTTACTCCCATCTAATGGAAGGCTGTTTCTATGAACGTTACATTTCCACTAAAAATATTCAAAATACCCCGAACCACCACGTATTTAGTCACTCCCCATTGAGAAGAGCTCACAATCTAAGTAAACTAGTTTGATAAATGTCAATTAGAGAAAGGCTGCCCAAATCTGGGTGACAGATGAGTAGCAAAGCCAGGAATAGAATCCAGATCTGCTGAGTTCCAGATCAGCATCCGATTTACTGGATCCCTCCAACTTAGCAATGAGCAGATGCCAATAAAAGCAAAGGCAGGAAAAAGCAGGGGAAGAGACACACATACCTGTGTGGTTACCACCAGGATATCATCCTCAGTCTCTGCTCTGAACTGGAAAGGAACACTGGCTCCACGGACCATACCATCCTGGTCGATGTAGCAGAACTGGTAGTATTCATCATCCTTTGGTAGGTAGTAAGCTTCAGACAAACACAACAACCCTGTCATATGCTTGTAATTACTCAGGTCTCTTAACTACATAGCACAGAAAGTCAGCACCTAAGAAAACAGACATCTTACTTCAATATTGTTCCTCCACCACTAGTAAGTCTTTGTGCCAGTGATAAGAACACAGACAGTATCACTCAGTTAGGATGGCAGAATCCAGTAGATTTGATTTTTTGGCTGTAGTTATGGGACTTGAAGTTTACTATAGCATGTTACTACAGATTTTCTGTAATTCTGAATGTAATACTTACTAGTGGCAGTAGCGTGGGATTTTGTGTATGTGCTTGTGTGTACACATACACATATATTCCCTGAGTGACCCAACCTCCCAACCCACCTTTGAACTGGATTTGTTGCTGCACAGCGGTATCACCATGGACATCACTGGGCAGAGGAGCCCACATGAATGTGTAATATTCCCGGGTTGTTTTCCATCCCACCTGCAATAACAAAATTCTTAAAAGGGACCACATAGTTCACACTTATCCTATGGCAACTGGACTATATTTCCACATAGATCAGTTAATGGGAAGACTTTTGCATTGATATTCTGACTTCACAGAGTTGTGGTCTATGCATAAATCAAAGCTACTCGCTAGCATCTGCCTTATTCTGAGGTCTATATTAGGGGGGCGAGGGGAGCACTGAAGTAGGAAATGTGTTGGAAGGGATGGTGCCAACATGATCTTTAATGCAATTATTCTTTACTGATTCTGTGAATCACAGTCTGTTTAATTAGTCTTGAAGCTGGTCAAGTAAGAACGTGCCTGGCATTTTGTCTCAAGGCACAAGAAAAATGCTGTATTACACAAAGTTATTATTGAAAAAAAATCTCTTACCCTGTTCTACCAAAGCCCTAAGGCCTTTCTTAGAGATGAAGTATGAATTAAATGTCAAATTGTTTGTGACAGCTGCTGCCTTCTCATACTTGGCATATCTGGTTACACAGTATTCACTTACCCGGAAGATGCCCACCCAGTCCTTCCCACGAGGAACTATGTTGTGTGTGAGAGTATAATAACAGATTACATCTCCTCCAGGAACATAAAACTTCTCCACATTGTTAAAGATGACCTGGGAGAAGTGGCAGTTGTCTAAGAGGACAGCAGAAGTGGGAGGTTCGTCCGAAGTCTCATCCATCATGGAAGCCTACAAGAGAAAAGCTTAATGTCATTATCTCATCGTGGATGTTGCCAACATAGTTGTGTCCATGAAGGATATGAAGAGGTAACAGCTGATGAATGACATAGCTGTAAGGTCCTAACCCCCTGCAGACACACCAATTTTTCTCAGCAAGGCACCTGCACTCACTACTGCTGCGACGAGACTGCTCCTTACATCCATGGCAGGTTGCAGAGTCTCTTCAGCAGAGCGTAAGGCTGACCCCTGCTTCCTAGCCACAGTGCCTGGAGCAATAAGGCTGCCAGTGTGACACAGCAGCCTCTCTCCTGCATGGGACCCCATGAACCAGACTCTGTTGACCATCCTACAGATCTGCTACTCGAGAGAGGCAGTGGTACCTCGTAGCAGCAAGAGCACGCATGCCTACTGGTGTGATTCCCTGCTTGACAACCCAGCTGGAACACAAGCTGTCCCTACATGCAGCCTTATACCATGTTTTTAATGTGATTTGACACTCCACACACATCTCCACTATATGTGGTTAACGTGGGGGTGCATCACCTCTTCTGAAATCTGGAAATTAGCATATTGATTGAGAAAAACAGAGGTTTTGCTGCGTCAGTGAAGCGCTCCTGCAGATAGCAGTAATAGACAAAAATAGCAGCGTATGATCCAAGCTAGGAGCTCCAAGGTTGGTACAGTCCAAGCCCTGACACGCTTCACCTTCACTGTCTGACCACAGTGAGACACACGAGACACACTCATGCTGGTGATATGCAAACTCAACGGCCTGGCTGTTTTCTGCATTCAAATCCAACATGATTATTAGACCTCCAAATACAGCATCTTTCATCGTCAGCTTTTTTGCTCCAAGAAAAAGAGGCACCTTGCTAAGATCAACTCCCATGGAAAAGCACAGAGGAGGTCCAGGTTAGGCAGGTTGTTGTAGTTCTGTCTCACAAGCCTGTGTTATGAGGCCATAATAGCCTTGGTACTTGTGACTGTTACAGTGAAACTGCAAGATGATTCTCAGTATCAAAATGATTACCTTGCATGGCAGCAGGGTCAACAAATAGCATTGAAGCTCATGCATTAGTAATCTACACAGAAAGCTTTTCAGTGCATTGTGACACTACAAACGTGTTATGCACAACAACATAAACACGCAGCGTGTGCATCTACTGGATCTGAACTGCCAGATGTCCAGGCATGACTAGAAATGACACTCAATTACCCTCTTTGCCACTGTATCTTGCAGGCAACCAGACTTAAGCCCTGGCAATCTGTCAAGAGACAGATCACTGCTGAAAAAAACCTGCCTCCAATCCCTGACAATTCAGTTCCAGGAATTCAAAGCAGAACCCTCCCAGCCAATTTTAGTGACAGTAGTAGCAAATAGATATTGACCTCAGAAATGACAGGAAATTCATCTTGAAAAACTATCCTGCTGGATGATTTAAGGTCATCTCCAATGCATGAAACCTTTCATTTTTTGTCATGACTGAGGACATCATCTGTATTGTGCCAAAAAACAGCCTGAAAATCAGGCAGAAGCGTAGATGGGCATTGTGGGGTTGTGTTCAAAACGGAAATGGTACCCGTGCACCAGGAAAGAGCACTAATTACAGCACTGATATATGCTGCTTTAGGAGCATGGCTAATTAATTCTTCCTGCCAGAAGCTGAAGGCGTAGAAATGGGTGTGGCTCAAACCTCCAGGGAATCCAGGAGTGCAGTTTACATTTTAGTTAGTAAAGCATAGCAAATTATACGTGCCTTATCTCAGCCTCGGTCTTTATTTGGCTGACGTCAACCTCTCCTACCTTGACGTGACTTATGATGCACTCCCCTAATGCCCTGGGACCTCCTGACAGCCAGCAGACCAAAAAGAAAAAAAATAATAACTTAAGAATAGCTCCTTAATAGCTTCAGGATACGAGCTCTTGCTGCCATAAGACTTCAATGTAACTTGCAAAGAAAATGAAGCGTCAAAGCCTGGATGCAGCAAAAAAATGCATTCTGCTGAAAACAAAGATGAAGAGTGTTGTTTTTTGTAAAAATAACTGTGAACTTGAAGACAAGAAAACCCATTGGTCGTGCAGACTGTTGACAGCACACTATGCACTTCACTTCAAGGAAAAGACAGGAAGTAGGAAGATTTTATTAACATTCTCATTTTTGTTCTATGAACAGTTTGTAGGTCATCCGTGCAGGAAGGAGAGGCCCTGTGAGGCTGCTGCTGCCCAAGGAGATGGGGAAAGCCACAGCTTCAGGGATGGAGGCGCAGCAGGCAGCCCCAGCCAGATAACGCGGTGTGACAGCACGCACGGAGCAGGGCACGACACACACCTCTTCCTGTGACACTCACGGCCCAGCTTCTCTCTGCTTTTTGTTTGTTTTTTAGTGCTGCTGTTTTGTTTTCATTTGGCTGTTGCTGTTTTCTTCCTTTCGCGGACGGCAGCGTCCTGAGAACGCCGAGAGCCGCGGATTGCCCCTTCCCGAGCGAGAGCAACTCCCAGCCGCAGCTGGGCACCGGGACACCGCGGCCCCCGGCAGCACCCCCGTGCGCGGGGTCCCAGCGGAGGCCGGGCAGCGGCACGGGGCGCTCCCCGCGGCCGCACACCCTCAGCTCCGCCGCCAGGAACCGAAAGCGAAAGCGCCGCCGCCTCGCAGCGAGCGAGCCCCGAACCTCCCCCCCCCCCCCCCCCCCAAGCCCCCAGCCCGGCCCCGGGGGCAGCGCGCGGCGAGGCCTCCGCGTCCCCACCCCGGCTCACTCACCGAGAGGCTCGGCCGCAAACCCCGGGGGCGGCGAGGCGTAGGACGAGGACGAGGCGGAGCCCCCCCGCGCCGCCCCGCCCCGCGCCCCGCCCAGGCGGCCCCGGCCGCGCTGCGGGACGCGCGGAGTCCCGGAGCCCAAAGTCCCAGGCACAGCCCGCGACGGCCCCTCCCCTCCCCTCCCCTCCCCTCCCCTCCCCTCCCCTCCCCTCCCCTCCCCTCCCCTCCCCTCCCCTCCCCTCCCCTCCCCTCTCCGGCCGCTCCCCGCGGCGCCACCGCCCCACGGCGGGGCGTCCCCGGGACAGCTGCAGGGGGTGCCAGGGGGTGCCGAACGCGGCGCGGGCACTGTCCGGAGCAGCTGCAGCCACACCGCGCCCGCCCTCACTCCCGCCGCGTCCGCTCTGCGGTTGAAGCAGCGGCCCCGCGCCTTATGAGCTTCTGGGAGAGAGTCCTCCATGCCGCCAGCCAATCAGAAAGCGCGCAGCGAGAACAGCTGACCAATGGAGACCCGCGTAGCCACACCGCTCTCCCGCCCTGTCCCGCTATCCCGGATGCTGGTGGGAGGGGACTTGCTCGGCCGCAACCAATGGGGATCACAAGTAGAGTCCCAGAATGCCGCGCGCGGCGCGCGGCGACAGCCAATGGGCGTGGAGGACGCGCTGGGACACCGCAAGGTGAGCGGGGCGGGGGCGCGCGCTCCTCTCACAGCCGCCGCCAGCGGGAGCCGCGCAGGTGGGGCCGGGGCCGGGGGCCGGGGGCTGCGGGACGGGCGGCGGGGCCGCGTTCTGCTCCCGGGTTCACTCGCGGCGCTGTTTTGTCCCGTAGGGAAACCACCATGCAGACCCCCGTGGCGCTCCTCGGCTCTCCGGCTCTGGTACGTGGCGTTCGCTCGGAGCGGGATAACGGCGCTTAGCGGGGATGTGCAGCCGCGGAGGCGTTCCCCGTGGTGCCGGGCTCAGGACGCTGCTTTGGGCAGCCTGAGCTGGGGCGGCGTCGCCTGGACTTGTTCCGCTGTGCGATGAACGAGGAGGGGAAACAAGGTGACCTCTGGTGACCAGAGCGTTACCTGCGGCTTTAGGAGACACGCGTCAGCCTGCAGGCCTGAGGTTTGCTTGAATTACAAGAGAACTGATTATCGCAGAGATACTCGGTCAGCTTTTTGTCTCAAAGCGCCAACTAAGAATAAAACAAGTGGAGTCGCAACGACTGCACCGTGCAGTAGCAGCAGTGATGCTCGCTGTACTGCAGTGCATGGTCTGCGGCAGTATTGCTCGTGGATTTCATCCAACTGGCTAAGCTAGAAATGCTCTAAATTAGTACATACAGTCATACAGTCGTTAACGCATACAGCACATACAATCCTTAACATGATTGTTATCAGTCTTGTTTCATTCTTGAGATGTATTTAAAAAAAAATAAAGCAAAACAAGATTGTTCTTCATAAAATATCTGTTTTGAGAATTAGCGTGGACGTGTCCAGCTATAAGCGTTAATTATCTGTGTTCTGCTTCAGTTCCGGTGCTGTTCCAGGGCTCTGGCCAGGCCTGTTCCAGTGTCTGTTTTCAGCAGGCCTGAGGTTCAGACTGTACAGGTAAGACTCTTATGTGGTACGTTGACTCCTTTATCTCTGTGCTTGCGGTCTGGGGTACTTGATGGTTTCTCCTGAGGTGGAAGAATAAGTTTGTATATCAAGAGGATAGCTAGTAAGAAGACTTACCACTGATCTGGGCTAGAAGCTGGCTTAGCAAGTTTGGCTGTTTCCTACTCTCTTGAGTAGCTGATAAATAGTGATTAAGAATTTTATCAAAGGAAGTTTTTTATTTATGATTAAGTGTCATTATTAATATGTATCTTCTGTATCCTGCAGCCAGCCGGTGTTTCCTATCCACAGCTGTCCCGCCGTGAGTTCCAAACTAGTGTTGTCTCCAGGGATATTGACACTGCTGCTAAGTTCATTGGGGCAGGTGCTGCCACAGTTGGGGTGGCTGGTTCAGGAGCAGGTATTGGGACAGTGTTTGGCAGCTTGATCATTGGCTATGCCAGGTAAGTAAGGTGCTAGGCTGGCTTGAATTTATTCCTTTCTTATATCACTAAACTTGTTAGATGGATAGAGCTTTTCCTAGAATATATGTTCAACTCCACATGTGTAGTGTGTATAAGCAGATACTGTGTTTAAGTGAAGCGGTCCTTTCTCATTCCAGCCATTGGCTGCCTGCCATAAATCTGGTTTGTGCTCCAAAATTTTTTGACTGTATGGCATAATCCTGGCTTTTGGTGATATGAGGTCTGTTTGTTTTGTTTTCCACTCAGCGTGGATCTATTTTTCTTCACTTTTTTTTTTTTTCCCCCTTGTGTCCCATGCAGGAATCCATCTCTCAAGCAACAGCTTTTCTCCTACGCCATCCTGGGTTTTGCCCTGTCTGAGGCCATGGGTCTTTTCTGTTTGATGGTGGCATTCCTTATCCTCTTTGCTATGTGACAACTTCTGGCCCTGGCTGTGGCTTTCATCACTTTGTCCTCTGCAGTTCGAGTCTGCTTCCATCAGAGTGTTCGAGGCTGATAATTAAAGAAAAGATTTCTCTAAATAAACTGGTGGCTTTATTTTTTTCTCATGCTCTGGTCCATCAGTGCAGAAGCTCCTGGGGGTCATTTTCGTATAAGTTGAACAATGTCATATCCTAAGTATAGGGGTACCCACAGACAAAGCAGCAGGGAGAGTGAAATGGTGGTGAGAAGAAAGGATGATAATAAATACAAAGGCAGCCAGATAAGAGAGAATGTCCTTGAACAGCTCAAACAATGCATCAGATTTTCAGAAATCCCAAGAAGTTTTGCCCTAGTAAAGCAAATACTTATATGAACTGATAAAGCATTGTTTTCTCCACACGCTATTAATGAAAATGCTATATCCACTTTATTTTGTGAAGGAAATATTGAAAAGGTGATGGGTACAGATGAGTGTACTTAGAATTGTAGTGTATTAAGGGCATTTGGAAAATTAAATAAACAGTAAATACACAAGGATTTACCATATCATCTGAATTTTCTTTCACAAAGAAGAGCTGGTTTCAAGGTCACACTATTCATAGGCTTCTTCAAAGCATCGGTTTAAGCAAAGGACCACAGCTGTGGTCTTCCCCAACAGTTTTATGCCTCAGTTGTTGTTGAGATTGGAGTACACTAGGCAGGAGAAGTTTTAAAATCTAACCTGAATCTTGGACCTTGCGGTAAGTCAGCTGTGCCTTTAAGGAAGGTAGGAAGGTGACTATTTGGGAAGCTTGTCTGGTTATCTGCTTTAGGTAATTGAATTAATGCAGCTGCTGTGTATACTAAAGCCTCTGAAGCATGGTTGTGACCTCCTTGGGGATGGGAGCGGGGTGCAGTAACTGTCCTCCTTTGCAGGAGCTGCTTATGCCCTGCGAGGGTAAGGGGGTGAGAGAAGGATTTTGACTTGTGCTTAAGAACAAACAGACAAAAACCGTCCTTGAGACTATTTGGAGAAGAGTGGCTCTGAAACCAAAAAGAGCCCAGAGGAGACTCACCGGCTGAAGAAGGGGAGAGATTCTATGCAGTCAGATGGTCTGGCTGCTAGGGACAAACGCGTAATTGTGCAGCGGAGCAGCCTGTCCTCTCTGCCCTTTTGTCTACTCTGAGGCTCAGCTTTTGTCTTAACGCTGCCAAGCAGCATCCCGGGCTGCAGCAGCAGAAACCCCTCCTGGCACAGGGGGTGATCCACGAGCAGGGCGGCCCCGTCCCGGGGGAGTGCGGGAGCGGCCCGGGGCCGTGCCGGGCGTCCGCCCTGCCGGGGGCTCGGCCTGGCCCCGCGGCCTGAGGCGGGCGGGACGCGAGGCCGCCGCCCTTGGGAGCTCGCGGCCGCCGGGGGCGGTGCGGGGAGGCCGGCGCCGCCGCCCGCTAGGGGGCGCTGTGCCCTGCGAGGGGGAGGGGGGGAGGAGGCGTCTCCGCGGAAGGGCGGCTCTGGCGCCGGGGGGAGGCTCCGCGGTCGCTCGGGGGAGCTCGCGCCGGTAGCGGGAGGGGGCCCGGGGGAGGCGGCGCTCTGGCCGGCGAGCGGCGGAGGCGCGAGGGGGCGGCCCCTCCGGCCGGACGACTCGGTGGTGCCGAGGCCCGGAAGCGGCGTTCCCCGAGGCCGGGCGCGGAATGGCGGAGAGTCCGGCCGCCGAGGAGGCGGCCCCGGCCCCGGCTGCGGTGCTGGCGGCGGGCGGCGGCGGCGGTGCCTCGGCCGGCCCCGGCGGCAGCGCGGGGAGCCCCGGCGTCTTCATCCCCGCCGAGCTGTGGGCGGCCGCGGGCTTCGGCGCCGCTCCGGCCAGCGCCGGCGTCGCCCCGGGGAGCGGCGGAGCCCCCATCGCCGCCGCGGCCGCAGCCGCGGGCGCCGCGCTCCTCACGCACTCCGCCTTCTGGGACCCCACGGTCAGCGGCGACTGGGACAGCGAGCGGCCCAGCCCGGCCTGCCTCCTGCGGATCAAACGGTGAGAGCCGCCCCCGCCGCCCGGGGGCCGAGCCCCGGAACGCGGCGGAACCGTCGGGCTCGCGGCCGCTGCCCCGGGGCGCCGGTCACCGTGCCCCGGGCCTCGCCGCCCCCTCCCCGCTGGGCCCGGGGACGAGGCCCGGGGCTCGTCCTCCCGGGGCGCGGGGCGGCCCCTAGGCACCGCCGCGCCCCGGGGCTTTCCTGAGCGCGGGCCCCGGGCCTGGTCTCGCCCAGGCGTTCGGGTGAGGGCGGCTCCCGTGCCGCAGCCGCCCAGGAGCCGCAGAGCTCCGCGCCGCCACCCCGGGCAGCTTCCTTGGGCTGCTCTCGCAGGTGCCCGTGGCCGCTGAGCGCTGCCCAGATCCTGTCCCCGGGCTCGCCGCCTGCTGCTTCCAGACGCTGTTAAACGGGGAGGGGAGCGGGCTTCTCACCCGGCCCCCACCAGCAGCCTGGTGGAGGTTTGCAAGGCGTTTATCCTAAACTTGCCAGTAGTGAGCCTCTTTCCTGGTGGTGCCCACCTAGTTGTCTGCTCCCACTATGTAAATAACCATCTAGTTAAATCTGGTGTGTTGATAGCCTTTGATGTTATGAGCAACGTGGTCTTTTATTGTTAGAAATACTGGCAATGTTTCAACAAGCTCTTCCTCTTCCTTCAGAGCAAGTATTGCTGCCTGCTGGGCTCTTGCCCATCCTTGTCCTGTTGCCTGTTCTAGAGCTTGTATAATGTCTTCCAAAGATGGCACCAGGTGTTTTGTCAGTTTCCAAACCAAATGCCAAAAACGCTAACTTCATATTGTTAGGTGGGAAGGCAAAACTCTCCTGTTGCTCTCCCGCTTGTTTTTGTTCTTGCCCTAAACCTCTCTGAGCTGTGGTTGCTTCCTGAACGGGAAGGTCTAGTGATAGCTTGTCCTGGAGCTCTGTGCAGCCCTGATTATGGGGGGAACCTTTTGGCAGTAAAAGGTGGTGGGTATCAATCAGTCTATCTGTGAACTACACAGACCTGTATGGGATTTGTTATTTTTCAGTTAGTCCAGGAAACAAGGGCATTGTGATGAAGTTGCATGTAAATACACATCCTCATAATGCTTGAACCTACTGTTCAATTAAAACCAAATCTGACAGAGCAGTTATATTCTCAAAGACAGTTGAGTCACTGTATGTTTGGGGAAAACAAGTGACTGGGTATACAAAAGGGATCCTGTAGATAGTCTGAGTGGGGAGAGGGAAAACATGGGGGGGGAAAGTTGACTGTTAAGCAACAAAATTCACCTGAGAGAAGTTTTATGTGCTTACCTTAGGAGAAGTTTATGGTTGGAGTTTTATATGCTGGAGTTGATCTGTGGTAAAACACGAGGCAGCAGGTAGTCAGGGTGCGCTTGGGCTGATGTCTTGCTTATCGACCAAGTGAATGCTCCGTGTACTCTTGAACAGCCTCAACTATTGTTTAGGATAAGTTAAGAGAGCTCAGCCAGAAAACAGACTAAAGAAAAAGAACATCTTTTACTCTGAGTTACAGGTTTCCATCTTTAAAATCTGTGCCTTTGCATCTGTACACAGATTTGTCATCTAGAACATTCCATGCATCAAGGGCTGATGAACGTCAAGGGAGATCCTGACTAATTTCTGTTTCCTTTGTTCAGGGATATCATGTCCATTTACAAGGAACCACCCCCAGGAATGTTTGTTGTGCCTGATCCCCATGACATGACCAAGGTAAGAGAAGATTGGGTACTGCTTCAGCTTCATGCTCTTCTGCATGTTGCTGTTGACAGCTGCTCTAAAGATTCTCCTGAGTATTTCCATAACATTTCGAGAGAAGTCAGGGGGAATCTTGTAAGAGCACAATGCACCTCTGGTTTTCTTGGTGATACTGAGATGGGCTGCATTTTAAATGGGAGGATGCTATCAAGGAAACTGGCTTTGTGGAGAGAGAACATCACAGCAATCTGAGGAGTTTCCACAGATAAAGCCAGCACTGTTTTGTGGCTGAATGAACTCTAGTGGAGTGCTGTCCCAGACTGTTTTATTCTACTGATGTTTGAAAACAGTCAATAGAGCAGCTCAAAGAAGAGATTTGCTCTGTGGAAAGCTGTCGGCCATGGGGGATTTCTCGAGGAGTTGGAAATGAGAAGCACCTACCAGTTGTAGACAGTGCTGGAGTATCTGTAACCCACCTGTGCAAGGTGGAGGTGTTTAACTGTTGTGAACTGGTAGTGGGATTTGTCTCTGGGCCCAGATCCTGTCCTGCTGTGGAGCTGCCTGCCTGGTTCTCACCGGTACCAGGATCTTGTGCAAGTCCGATCTGCACAGCCACTTCCACCACAGTGTCTCTAGTGCACCTGTCCCTAGGGGCCAGCATGTCTATGGCCTCTCCTGCCCCAGTTCTTCCCCTCCTGGCTTCCTGGCTCTAGGGGGTTTCCAAAACTGGGAATTTCCAATTATGTCTGAGGGAGTGCAGTGATCTGGGAGGGTGAGGATGCTCAGTGTTTGTGATCCAGTGCATTCCTTGTCTGGTGCTGCCCTTTTTCCAGCCAGTGTCACCTCATCTGGCTGTGCTGGTTTCTGAGAAAGTTGTGTGTGCATGCGTGTGTGTGGGGTTGCTTTTGGTTTCTCTGTTGTGCACTTCTCCCACCCCCCTGACAAACTTGGCACGCCCAGTAGAAGCACCTCCAGGCTCAGGGCTCATGGCCTGTTGGAGCTAGCACAGAGGAAGGGGCTTTGCACAGACAACTGCTGCCTGGGGCGTTTGGCTCAGTTCTGGCTTCCCTTGGCTTGGAAGCCGCAGGTGCCAAAATGCCCTTCAATTGAAATGCAGGTTTGTAGAACACCAGCCTTAGGGCTTTTAACTAAAATCCTAGGCTAAGTAAGAGGATCATTTAAGGAAGATTGATTGGATCACTTTGGGAGGATGGAAAAGGAGAAAGTTTCCGTAAGAGCCCAGTGGGAGAAGATTTCCTGGTATACTATTGAGATTTTTGAGGGTAATTAGCATGGGGAGGATAGGGTCTTAACTTCAGATCCTGGCAAAGAATTTGACTGGTTCAATACGACCAAATCAGCACAAGACCATAAAATTGAGGATTGTTCCAGTATTGGCAGAAATTCTGACATTTTCTTTCTAAAACTAGCTATATATTTTTTTTCATATGTGAAATCTTTTTTTTTTTTTTTTTTTTTTTTTTTTAAGCAGAGCTTACCAGCTGAACTATGATCTGCTCCATTTGGGCTGTATAGAGATGTATGGGAGGGGAGGCAGCTGTTGTGGACTCTGGCCAAACTTCACGTTGGAAGCACATTGAGTGTGGCAGAGGGGAGAGAAGTGCACAGCAGTGGCTCCCTCTAATGAGGGAAGGAGGGAGGGTTAAGTATGGCCCGTGTATGGTGTCTGCTTGTGGAAGATGCTGCATCCATACTGCTCCCTGGGTGGAGGTTTCTTGCCTTCTGTGGGCTTTGTTGAGGATTTGAGGGTGCTGCACAGTTTTGAAGTGGTGCGCAAGATGGGCTTTTGTTTTCCAGATTCATGCATTGATCACAGGCCCATTTGACACGCCTTATGAAGGGGGTTTCTTCTTGTTCCTGTTTCGCTGTCCTCCAGATTATCCTATCCACCCACCAAGGGTCAAACTGATGACAACAGGAAATAACACAGTGAGGTTTAACCCCAACTTCTACCGCAATGGGAAAGTCTGCCTGAGTATTCTAGGGTAAGAAGAGACTTTGGCTGTTTTGGTGGGAAACCAGGAGGTAGCTGCAGGTAGTGTTCTGCCTCATGCGTCTTTCTCAATGCACTGTGCCCTGATCTTGCGAACATGTCAGACATGTTCGATGCACGTTTATGCTTCTGTAAAATTATGTGCTAGACCAGAGTCATAAAGCAGCACAAGGTCGTCTGAAATAAGAATCTAATTTGTCTTTAAAAGAGCCTGAGAATGGAGCAAGGGAAGCACGGAGCTCAGCGGACACTGCTATTTTTCTTCTTCCCCTTGCAAAGTCTTGGCCTGAGCACTGTGTTTCTTCTGCTCTTGCACTTTGCAACCCGATCCTTAATGCTGTCTGTATGTAGGTTTTTGCGGTTTTAATTTCCTTTCTCCATGTGGCTTTAAAAATAAATAAATAAGATTAAAAGCCACTAAGAACTTCCTTGAGAGCCATTCGACTGCTCTGGGCTTCCACCTACATGTACGTGGGGCAGAGCGGTGGGTGTAATGACTTGCAAGCACTGCTCCCATGCTGCCTGTTCAAGCAGGCTCCACTGCTGCAGATGCTTGTTACTCACCTACTTGATTTTTAAACACATGAAAGTTCTGTTTGATCCAGTGGCTCTTAGGGTTCCACCAGAGGAACTGTGGCCATAGTGTGATATTCCTAATGCCAGCTGTGACAGTTTAATCTGCCAATAAAGAAAGATTTTTGCTGAGACTCTGGACTGGTGCAGCTGGGGTGTCAGTGTCACTTTCCCTTGGCTGCAGACAGATACAGGCAGCCAGGTGGCGAAGGTAGCTTGAATTGCTGTAGGAATTTTATCAAACAAAATCTGAGCGTTGATGCAGTTTATAACGTTGCCTTTGCTGGGATTGTTTCTGGAGTTCTCTGCATGTGCCCCTTAAACGAAAGCTGGTCCAAGTAGCTGCTACTTGTCAGCTGATAGTTAATGGTCCATGGCTGGGTGGGAGAGACAGTGTGCTGGGAAACGTCTCACTCTGTGAGGTTTGTGATCCAGTAAGCTGGATGCCAATGCCTGTGAAGCACTAAGGTGTGTTGGGCACATCCATACCTCGGGGGTCTGAAGGCCCAGCAACTTCCATGCAAGCTGCATTGTTGCTCATGCAGTGTAGCCCTGTCTTGAAGAGTGAATAAAGAGTCTCAGCCTTGGCAGAAATGGGAAGCTGTGAGTGAAGGGATTTAGGAAGAGGATATATGGGTCAGTACATCCTTGTTCAGCTCACTGGGAGACAAGTCTGTATCTGGAACTAGGATATTAAGGGCAAGTAGCAGAATGGCTTTTCCTGATCATGTTTGTCTATTCAGAGTTTTTTGCTACCTTGTATGTATTAAACGGGTACCTCGTTCTTACAGGAGAGCATCGATTAGTGTTTTTGGTGGCAGACTTTGTGCTGAATGTCTGCATTACAAACTGCAATAGTGATGGTCTTGTTCAAGTCTTCAGAGTTAGATTTCAGTTCTTAAGAGTTGCAGGCTTTGATTTATTGTAGTGCTGGTAGGATGTGTTGCTTCAGGGTGCTGTGTGAGATGATATCCATAGTTTTAAGGTGCCCTGTAAAGTGTTTGGAAATGTTACTTTTGCTCAGCTCATGTGTGGTGCCCTGTGTATGTTGGCAGCAAAGTTCACCAGCCTGCTGCATGGCTGAAGCTAGCATACTCATCTGGCTGAGAGAATAAACTGCCTTCAACCTGAAAACTTTCTTAGTGTCCAGTGCTTTGTATATCTGTAGCAGCTGTTGCTTTTTCTGTCATATTTCTGTAAGCTACGGAGATAGTTTCACAAGCTTTTTGATCTTTGGTAGTTGGAGGGATGGTGGTCACTTGGCTGGTCCTGTGTTGTTAATTGATGCTCTTCTGTTTTGATGCCTCAGCACTTGGACCGGGCCCGCATGGAGCCCAGCACAGAGTATCTCTTCGGTCCTCATCTCCATCCAGTCTCTGATGACTGAGAACCCCTATCACAATGAACCCGGCTTTGAGCAGGTAAGACCTGAAGGTGGATCATCTCTGGTTCTGCAGCTATTTGTCTGTTCACTCTAAACCTTGCTCCTAGTGGCAAATTCTGCTCTGGAAATGGGGGAGAAAACCGGGCTATGTCATGTGGCTCCTTTACAGCTTGCTTTGCCTCTAGTCAGATCTTGAGGAGGAGTTGCAACCCAGCTCTGTACTGGAGGCTGCTTAGCTCTTGTATGTGTTAAGTAACAGAAGAACAAGAGGCATTCATGAAGTTGCTGAGGAGATGGGATGGTTTTTCATTTCTCTGCTATGTGACTCCTAATATGGCTTCCTTGAGATATAACGTCATGCGGGAAACAAACTGCTCAGGTTTTTGTGTCTCCAGCATCCAAGAGAGGCAGGTTGCTGTGCTGACTTTATCAGCTGTCTGTCTCCACAGCTGTGTGAATCCAAGGCTCTTTAGACTTGGGAAATCTTGCCAGCTTTTCATTTGCAGTGTAAGTTAGCTCAGTGTACACAAAACAGACAATGCTGTAGTGGGTTCTTGCGTTAGTGGAATTCATCGGGCCCATGAGAGAGAGACAAAGAATGATTCCAGTCACATGGACTTACTGGCCCAAATTCTGTTTCCAGGAGAGGCACCCCGGGGACAGCAAGAACTATAATGAGTGTATTCGGCATGAGACCATCCGAGTAGCAGTGTGTGACATGCTGGAAGGAAAGTGTCCCTGTCCTGAGCCACTACGGTATGGAAAGGAGGCAGGGAGGGAACATAAGAAAGTGGGTGTGGGGAAGCAGGTTAAAGTTCTCTGGTTGCCCTTCCTGAGAACTGCTACAGGAAAGAGCAAGTCTTTAACTCATCCTGGTGCAGTGAAGAGTGGTTTTGTTTCTTTTGAAATGGGTGGCTGCATCTGTGTGGTGCCCAGGAGCTGTACATTGACAAAGGCTGTGATACTGTGCACACTGGCTGCATCCTCTGACTTTTTTGAGGATAAATGTGCCTTCTTTTAGAGAAAAAAAATAAAAATCTGAGGGAGAGAAAAGCAAAGCTGTTGTGAAATCACATGCAGAATCTGTTCGGCTACAGTAGCAGTGCTGTACTTTGTTTTGTTCTGTGTCCTGCCTCGCTGTATCCAGCCAGTTGTCTGGGATGCCCTGTGTGGGTTGAGCTGTGCTGATTACATGGACTGCTGCTCAGTGGGGTGGTGCAGCCCTGAATGGTGTGACCATTGTAACACTGTCATTCTCTGACTGTTTGCTCTGATTGTGTTCAGGGGTGTAATGGAGAAATCCTTCATGGAATACTACGACTTCTATGAAGGGGTGTGCAAAGAGAGACTTTATCTCCAAGGTCAGACAATGCAGGTGGGTGGCAGACAACTTTCTTGTTGATTCAGAATTTTGATTCAAAATACCTGAAGTCACTTGTAGTTAGTGACAGACAATTGCAATAGGTGATGTGCAACAACTAAATGTATGTGGGGTGGATTTGGACCTTTTTCTATCAACTGTACGTTCCTGTGAATAAAAAGCTACCTCTCCCAAGTCCAGCATAGGCACACGGTGTTTTCAAGGCTGTTAGAGTTCTTTCAGTGCTGAACCTGGGTCACTCTCAAGGCAAGCAGGTGGTGCTTTGGGCAGTGGAATCAGTACAGTTTGTTTTCATGTGGATTTGGGGTTAAGCAGGGGAGGCACATGTAGGTTATCCAGTCCTGGTGACAAACTGAACTCTATTGCAGCGTCTTCCTGTTGAGACACCAGTGGGATTTCTTTTTCTGAGGTGTCATTGCTCATACAGTAGAGAGGAACTTTTCTCTGGCACTCCTTGTTCTCTCAGATGAGGTTGAAAGTGGCTGGCTGGCTGAGACTAAAAGTTCCTGGAGGAGGAAGGAGTGGGGGGAACAGTGACAATATGGCAGACACATATAGACAGGTTGAACAAAGGAGCTTATTTCTGTCGGGAAGTACAGTTTAAAGAATAGGTTGCCAAGCCATTTGCATATGAACATGTCTTCCTCCTTCATCAGGCACCTCTTATTTGACTCATTGAGAAATTACACTGTTAAGAAAAGATGGAGGTGATTGGTTTAACGATCTAGTGTCTCTAAAGATCCTTCTTTCCTGTGTACCATCATTGACTGTTTAATTCATAAAATGAAAGCACTCCTAAAACAGGAGAGTTCATGTTTGAAGTGAGAAATTCGCATAATCATGATCTGCGACAGACGTACCTACAGAGTGCTGAACAGAGAGGCTGCAGTTTGTTGAGGGTAGAGGATTGTAAGGTGTGGCCAACTCTTCTTTATTCTTCAAGGATACAGGGCTCAGTTGCTTTTTCCATGGGTTTATGAAGAACACTGTGACCTGGTACTGTGTTGTGCTCAGTTCCCAGAGATAGTGACTGCCTTGGTCTGTTTTCTGCTTGCTTGTAAATAGTAGTACAGGAAGTATGAACACAACATGCTGGAGAGATGCCATTGTTGTCTTTGTTACCCTATATTTAAAATGAAGTCACTCCATGTTCAGTATCAGTTTAGTGCTTGCCAAATGTGCTGCCTGGTTAACTCTGAGGCTGCGTGTTGGCTTGCACCAAAGAACTGCGTCTGATGGGACAGGGTAAATTCCACCACCACCACCTTGTATAGCTCTGGCAACGTGTCTTTAACCAGGAGTAGGGTTAAAAGCAAAAAGTATTAAAGCAGCTGGGTGCCTTGATGAAATGACAATAGCAAGGCTTTAATTTGGAAAGGGTCTGTAGCACTAATATAAAGTGTGGTCAAGTCTTTGGCCTCTGGATTTTAGAGGCTTTCATTTGTAATGTTTTCCTGTCTCTTGGAAGTGAGCATGAGACCCGATCTTTGAAGTAGGTATGGTTTCAGAAAGGGTGAATTTTGCCTGACTGATCTGATGTCCTACAGTGAAATCACTGCATTGGTGGGTAAGGAAGAGTTAATGAGGTAATGTACTGTGACTTCTGTAATGCCTTTGACATGGTCCCACACATCCTTGTCTCTCAGTTGGAGAGATGGATTTGGTGGATGGTCTATTCACTGGATAAAGAGTTGGCTGGATGGCTGCATACAAAGAGTTACAGTCAGCGGCTCAATGTCCGGATGGAGACCAGTGGTACGTGGTGGCTCTCAGGGCTCCATATTGGTACGGGTACTGTTAAATATCTTTATCAATGGCAGTGTGACTGAGCGCACCCTCAGCGAGTTTGCAGGTAACATAAGGGAGGCTGAGTGGTGCGGTTCATATGCTGGAGGAGAGGGATACCATCTAGAGGGACTTTGACAGGCTTGAGAGGTGGACCCATATGAATCTCATAAGTTCAAGGCCATGTGCAAGGGTTGAGGCAATCACTAGTATCAGTACAGACTGGGTGGTGATAAATGGATTGAGCGGCCCAGTGGAGAAGGACGGGGATGTTGGTGGATGAAAAATTGTACGTGAGCTGGCAATGTGTGCTTGCAGGCCAGAAGGCCAATTGTATCCTGAGCTACATAAAAAGAAGTGTGGCCAACAAGTTAAGGGAAGTGATTCTTGTCCTCTACTCTGCTCTCATGAGACCCCACCTGGAGTACTACATTCAGCTCTGGGGCCCCCAGCAGAAGAAAAATGTAGACTTGTTAGAGCAGATCCAGAGGAGAGCCACAAAAATGATCAGAGGGCTGGAACACTTCTCCCATGAAGAAAGGCTGAGTTGGGGTTGTTTAGCCTTGAAAAGTCTCAGGGGAGACCACTTTGTGACCTTTTAATACTTGAGGGGTTAGAAGAAAGATGTAGAGAGACTTTTTACCAGGGCTTGTAGTGGTAGGACAAGGGGTAATGGTTTTAAAATAAAAGAGGGTAGATTTAAATCAGGCATAAGGAAGAAATTCTTTACAATGAGGGTGGTGAGACACTGTAACACATTGTCCGGAGCAATTGTGGGTGTTCCATCCTTGGAAGTGTTCAAGGCCAGGTTGGATGGTCTAATGAAAGATGTTGCTGCCCATGGCAGGGGGGTTGGAACTAGGTGATCTTTAAAAGTTACTTCCCATACAAACCATTTTATGATTCTATTAAATAGTTTGCTTCTTCAAGCCTGCTAGGAGAAATCCACTTCATATCTGCTTGGCCTTTTAGGTGCCTTTGAAGTTTGCTTGGGTGTGTAAGGTTTCCCAAAAGACTCCAAACAGAAAATACCTGCAGTCCTCGACCTCTACCATGACACTGTTTAGAGGCCTCTTGGTCACATGACAGGATTTAACCTTTAACTATTTGTTTGTTGCCCAGTTACTGTACAGCTTTCTTACTTTTACTTCTTGCCAGAATGATAAAGGTCTATATTAATATATTTATCTATGTCTTCCTTCCAGGATCCTTTTGGTGAAAAACGAGGCCACTTTGACTATCAATCCCTATTAGTCCGTTTGCAAGGAATTCGGCAGAAGGTGCAAGAGAAACATCAGCAGGCAAATACAGAAATAGACTCTGAGAGCAGCTCCTCTGAGACAGAGACAGACGCTCAAAGTTGCTCCAAAGCCTAGAGCTGCGTTACCAGTGGAGAGGCCAAGCTGTGGGAATGTTGTCTTCATGCTAGAGTACCCCTGACAGACTCAATAACCAAACCAATGCCAGAGTGGAGAAAACTACAGGATGTCTTCTTCTGTCTCCTTTTACTGCTCTGGTGGATAACGCTGAATGAGAAGACTTCATGCTAGACAAAGCCAAGCTTGTGACAGGCTACTCTTAAAAGGTACTTACTCTGATAGAAAGCCGGAGCATGTGGCATCAGGTTATTTTTTGAAAATATCTACACTGGTTATTTTTTTGTCTCCATTTGATTAAAGAATGAGATCTAGACTGCGACTCCTCTTTACAGCTTTTCTGTTCCTAGACAGTGAGCCCTTCCCTGGGGCCATGCTGAATACAGAGCTGTAGCGGTGGGAGTGCTCTGATGAGTCTGGGGTGTGACAGGGCCCAGGCACTATGTGCCTGGATGAAACCTTTTTCCGCAGGTTGGGAGAGATGGAGCCTCTGCTCTGTTGAGCCCATCTACCTAATGTCTTTCTTCTAGATGCTGTTCTAGACAGACCAAAGATAAAGAGCAGTGGTGGAATCTGGGCTCCTATCTGAAGGCTTTACACAAGCCCTGGGTGACTTTGTCCACTGAGACTTTAGGCACAAAGGGTAGGATGAAAAGTGGAAACTGCAAGAATCCATTAATTGAATGCAGATGTGTTCATCCTGGTGTTTTGAGAAAGGGAGAGTGAGAAAAACATTGGTTCAGAGATGGGGGGGGGCACTAAAAATAAATCTACTTTGTCTAAATCTTTAAGGTTTTGATTTGAATTTAGTATTCTAGAAATACTTTATTCTGGCTGCTCTGTTTGGAGCTGTTCCTTAACTGAAGTAATTCTCACTTTCCACCTCTCTAGTCAATGTAATATTTTATTTTCCTCTCCCTTTCTTTACTACCACCTCTCATTCCCCACTGCTACCTTGATCCATCAGATTGAAATGCTAGAATAAGGGGCAAAATCTAGCTAAGGAAGCCACTGTTTCTGGGTGGAGCTTTTCAGAGGTGTACACCTAGTTACTGACTGAAATTCCTTTGCCAAACTTGGCTGAGTACAAGCTAGACAAGTGTTGTAAAGTTAACACTTCGGTGCTTTGAATGTTTTAGACAGCAGCTTTTTACTGCCAGGGGCAAGTGTGTCAGAGAAGTATCTGCTAGCTGCGAGTACAGTTACAGCAGAGATGTATTCAGTGCAAGTTGGTTGGAGAATAAATACAAACTTTCTTCAGGTAAAAGATCCTGGTGATGATTGATTGCAGTAGTAAAATGTTTCATTAATAAATAGCTTAATCTACTTTTTTTCATAGGAGCTTTGATAGAAAGCACAAAGTTGCACATTATCCTAGGCCCTCTCCTTAAACACCTTCCACCAGTGTGGCTCTATTTCAGGCTCCCAGTGGTGGTGGGAGAATGTCCAATGGTCATCCTTGTGTTTTGTTTTTTTAAGAAAACACAACCATAGAAGGAAAGGTCAGAAAACCCCTGCCATGCAATGTACAAAAAGGCAATGTCCCATACATCACTGAATTATTTAATTATTTTCAGTCTCTGATTTATATCAACTCGTGTAGAAGTCTGAAGCCTGCACATTGCTCCTTAAGCAGCTCTGATAAGCTAAAAGGTGGAAACATTTCTGAACTGTAAGTGTGCCATTTAACAACTTGGGAACCTTTCCCTTTTAGCAAGCAACACCCCCAGGGTCTGTCATTGGTATGAGTCTGACTTAAACCCTGTCTTCCCTCAAGGGAAAGCTAAACTTACATAGGACTCACTCAACACATACACCAGGTGAGAGTAAATAAAGCTGTGTTCACCTTGAAATAAGGTCTCAGGAGGCAGCAGGATCTCCTGGGAAGTCATGAGCTGTATGCTACTCTTCCGCCTCTGTAATTCCATTGTAAATGTCACATTGTTTGTCACCATTCAGTAGCATTGTGGATAGAGCTGTGACTCTGCTGCCTTCTAAAGGCAGAGCTGGTTCTGAAATCTGTTTGTGATGCATGTGGCGTTACCATCCACTGATACAACAAAACAAGAAAATGCCTTATTGTGGACACTATTCACATAACTAGCATGTGGCTGTAAAAGAGAAGTATTAGTTTTATAGCTCTAATGTTGTCTGTCCTACCATTTCTGAATGTTTCCATTTCAAAGTGACAATCCTCAAATGACTGCTCTAGGCAGAGATGTTTTAGCAACAGATTTTTAGACCTAATTGAGTTGAAATATATGCACAAGAGTCACTCTAAGATACCTTGTTTATATACTATTGTACATAAGATTTTTTTTTTGTGCAATAAAGTTTGTTTTGGCAGAATCTAGACTGTGGTACTCCTTAGTGAAACAAAGGCTCATTCACAGAGCAGAGGACTACCGAACAGTTTCTAAGATGCTTTGGAGATGTCACTGCTGGCTCTAAGATTCATTACACAGTCACATATACATCATCTGAGACTTCAGTTGCAGTATCAGCTTATATATTTTTTCTCTTGCTGTGACAAGGTAATTAGTGTTTGTAACAGTAAGTGGTATTTCAATTCACAACAGAAGAGAAAATCTGAAGGTAAGCAAGTATGAATTAGTCCTATTAAACTTCTCAATCTAGACTTTTAAAAAAAAAATTTATTTCAAGTCCATTGTACCCGTGTTTTAGGTGATATGCAAGTAACCTCACAAGAAGAATTATATACATGCATGGAACACTTAAAAGTCAAGGTATTGCCTCCTTAGCTTCCTCTGGAGTGATCTCCTGAGAGTACAGTTCTGTAAAGAGTGCAGGCAGCCAGTACTGAGGTTCTCCAGCTGCCTGCGTATCCAGCCAGGCCATTCCTTCCTTCAGCAAGTGTTCCTGTTGAAACGGAGCAGAAACTGAGTAAAACTGAACTAAATGGCTGAGAAGCCATCAACAGGCCTCATCCCACTTTTATCGTAGGGTAACGGAGTGTGTAGAACTCAGTATTTTTACTTATCTTGAGCAGGGAAAGATACAGTTTGGATATCCAATTAAATCTACCCTGCTGTTTATGCAGGACCTGAGCTAACAAAATTCAAGTTTTAACCAAGACTAGTGAAGCCACAGGAATATCTACAACTCCTGAGACTCTACTGTCTTTAACCTATGTTTAAGTAGTATGTACCCTGCAGGTCTATCACCTGTGCATGCTATGGTAACACAACCTCACCGTAGTGTATGCAGCTGTGCTGCAGGAACAGCCACTCTACCCCCATCACTGAACTCCACTGTGCACAAGAGACCTTCATACGTACCAGTATTTGCTTTGCACGTTCCATCTCCCATTTCAGACTGGACCTGATCTCACTGACTGTTACATAGCCCTTTTTCTGAAATGAGAGAGAAAAATACTGTGTGCTTATAATCAAGTCCATAGCTGCACATGGACAATTTTGCCCACAGGTCTGATCTAATCATAGCACAAGTTCTAGATTCGTATCTGTGCTGGAATTTGCGCTTTCTACACCATGCTTTCCCTGTCATGGAAGTAATAAGATTCCTTCAGAGTGGTCGTACTTTAAAATAGCTTGGATCAGTACCTCTGCCAGCTGCAAGACGACTGTGTGATCCATGTTCAGTTCAGCTGGTACAGACTGGACCAGATATGTTCCACCAACAGGGATAATCCCAAAGCCATTTCCCAAGACCTTCAGTTTCTTGATTGCACGAAGGAGATCATCCCTGAAAAGCAAGGGTTAATGCAAGGCTTTAAACCAAGAGAGCCTCTCTCAAACTGCTTCTTTAATTCTGCAGCTGAGAAGAAGCTATAAGCTATAGCAAGTGGCTACTTGCTGCAATTTCAGGTAATCAACAGCCAAAAATTTCTTTTAGTGTTTATATCTTTGCCCCTCTACAGAAGTGCAGAGTTTCATTAAAGACATTTGTAGCATCTAAGCTGCAAGTGCTAAATCTAAGATTCAGCCCAACTTACTAATTATGGTGAGTTGGGTCCTAACATTGATTTCTGTAAGGGCATGTATTGGTCCCTTCCTTACAGCTCAGACCACAACAGCTTCAGCAGACTGTCACAGTAAGAGAGCTGGATTTGCAAGGAATTCATCCTCTCCAGCTCAAGAGGACAGTTCTTCATGCTTTAGTGCTCACTCCTGCTTTTTGAAATATTTAAGTCATTAACTACAAAGCATGTGTAAGTGGCTCAATTGCTAGAATTTGGAGTCAAATTAACAGCAGCAACTTCAAGCCTAGTTGAGATCAGTCACCCTCTTCTTCCACAAATTCTACTCGATTCCACCCTCTTGTAATATCCAGGCACTCACTGGCTTACTTCCTGAGCAAACTTCCCTCTTCCCTTCAGCACTTGTTGATGAAGTTCTTCTAGTGTTATCAGACCTAGAAGTCAACAAAAGGGGACAGGAAAACCTTACTGCACAGAAAGAGAACTACTCCAGCACAAGTAGTAAAGGCTCCTTTTTGTGTTTACCACTGAATCACCCCTGCCTTACATTATACAAGTGGGTTCTTCATTGTTCCCCATTTCAAGCCTTGGATGAGATAAGCATTTAGTCACTTCTGTTCCTACAATTAACATGCAGCACCCAGGTGCTGCCTTCTTCCACAAACTTGTCAGAGTTTCAACTGGACTTTGCTGTAGCCCACTCTTGGTCTCCGATTGCCCTTTTGGAGTGAACACCTAGTACATTTTCATTAGGCACTTACCACTAGTAATCAATGAATCATTAAGGTTGGAAAAGACCTCCAAGATCACCTGGTCCCCTACCACCAATGTCACCCACTAAACCATGTCCCTAAGTGTCACGTCCAACCTTTCCTTGAACACCCCCAGGGATGCTTACTCCACTACCACCCTGGAAAACCCATCCCACTGCCTGACCACTCTTTCAGAGAAGAAATGTCCCTGAGTTTCCAACCTCAACCTCCCCTGATGTAACTTGAGGCCATTCCCTCTAGTCCTATCACTGGTTATCTGTGAGAAGAGGCTGACCTCCAGCTCCCCACACCGTCCTTTCAGGCAGTTGCAGCGAGCAATGAGGTCTCCCTGAGCCTCCTCTTCTGCAGGCTAAGCAATCCCAGTTCCCTCAGCCACTCCTCATAAGACTTGTATCCAGGCCCTTCACCAGCTTTGTAGCGCTTCTCTGGACATGCTCCAGGGCCTCGATGTCCTTCTGGTAGTGAGGGGCCCAAAGTTGAACACAGTACTCAGGTGCAGCCTCATCAGAATCAAGTACAGGGGGCCAATCACCTCCCTGGTCCTGATGGCTACACTACTCCTGATAGAAGCCAGGATGCCGTTGACCTGCTTGGCCACCTGGGCACACTGCTGGCTCATGTTCAGGCAAGCATCAACCAGCACCCCCAGGTCCTTTTTCTCTGCACAGCTTTCAAGTCACTCTGCCCCAGGCCTGTAGCGCTGCATGGGGTTGTTGGGGCCAAAGTGCAGGACCCAGCACTAAGCCATGTTACAACTCATCCCATCCTGTCCACGTTCCTCTGCAGGGCCTCCCTACCCTCCCACAGATCGACACTAACTCTTCTAGTTATTGCTGCAATCCTTTAGAGACAATCTTACTGCCAGTCTCAAAGCAATAACTTAATGGTTTTGTACTCCTTCCAGACTGTCATTTATCACTGTTTCCCTTCCCACTGTACCAGGAGTTACAGTTTTGTTATCTAGGAAGGGCAGAGTTGGTTGATTTCTGTAAAAATCAGTGAAGCTAGGTGATTACCAGTGGTACAGTGATAAAATGTTGTAGAAACAAAACAAGCGTTTTGGGGGGTGCAATGGAGACAGAACTGTCAGCTCCACATTCTGGGAAATCTAGTAAAGAATGCTATGCTGAGCGATGAGACTCATTTTTACATGGACAAGGTATACTCCCATTCTCCTAGAAAACAGACACAGAGCTATTCTCACCTCCATTCCTGTGTTTCAGAGCCAGGCAAACTTCAATAATCTGCACGCCCAATTCATAGTAAAAGTCTCCAACTCCCAGCATTTCTGACCAGAATCCTTTACCAGCTGTGAAGCGAGAAAGGGGAAAGCGATTGGACCACTGCCAAAAACATCTTCCTTGACAGTTACGGGTACCAAGCAGCCTGCTCACAAACCTCACTGTGAGGACTCAGATGCCTCAGTGAAGAGTCTCCAATTTGGTCATCTCCACCTCTTTTGCTACCCGTTTAAGTAAATAGGGCCTACAGGCATATTATACCAATTCACAAACCCCAAGAATCAAAATGCCATTAGCTTTCCTCAAGGACAACTTCCACCAGCTCCACTAAAAACTGTTTACAACAGGACAGTAAAGCAAATCTTTAGTCGTTGACCCCTGGTGCCTGCTCCTCACATGCCAGAGGATCCACTCCAATTGTTGCGCACATATCCTGGAACTGGACCCGGAATGCTGGGCTTTTACGGATCTCTTGCTTGTGTTTGCTGGCAAACTCCTCCAAGTTGGTTTTAAACATGTCCAGCTGCTTAGACATCTGGAAGAGAATTACAGAAAACTATTTCTGTCTTAACGCTTTTTTAACACATTTTTGGTGATCACAGCCCCCATAACGCGCTAAGTGGACACCGTCCTAAAGCAGCAGTCAAGATTCACCCTGTACAAATGGCACCGGTGGGCTCAAAAAGCAGGAAGCAAGAAAGAAGCGCTCGATAACAATTCACACACACGTGCTTTAACGCCGAACATAAACCAATACCGAACAAGGGCGAAGACAAGGCTATTGCGAACCCGCGGCTGGGCTCAGGACGGCACCGGGCTCTCTGCGCCCCGCAGGCCGGGGAGGCCGCGGAGCTGCCCGGCCGGGAGGCGGGACCCGAAGCGGGACGCGAAACGAAGCCGAGGGCGGCGGCCGGGCCCACCGCCACGGGGCACGGCGCGGCGGGGCCCTCCCACCTGGGCCAGCTGGTCTTCGGCCAGGACCGTCCCTCGCTCCTTGTACTTGGCCTGCGGGAAGAGAGGAGGCCGCTGGGGAGGGCGCCGGGCGGGCAAACCCCGCAGCGGAGGAGGTGCCGCTCCTCACGGACCCGCGGCCCCAGGCGAGCGAGGAAGCCACCGGGGGGCTCCCTGCGCGGCCCGGCCCGGCCGCAGGCCCCGCCGCCCCCTCACCTCCGCCAGCTTCTTCTTGGCGACGGCGCCCGCGCCCACGCCCCGCCGGTGCATCCCGGCCCCTCCGCCAGCCGCGCGCCTGCCGACGTCATCGCCTCGCGACGCGCGGCGCCGGCGCGGGGCGGGACCTGCGCGGCCCCGCCTCGCGGAGGGGCCGGGCCGGGCCGGGCCGGGGGGGGGGGCTGCGGGGGCAGAGCCTCTGCGCCTGGGGCCGGGGCTGCGCTGCGGGAGGAGCCTGGGGGTGGTCGGGGTCGGGCCCCCGGCGGAGCCCCTGTGAGGGGGGTGCCCGCCCCGCGCGGGGCTCCGGCAGCCTCGGGCCGAGCTCAGCGACCCCCAGAACGCGGGGCGACCCTGAGGAGCCTTGTTCGGAACGACGCCTTTTGTAAAAAAAGTACTTTGGTAACGTGTTCTAGCCCGTCCCCAAATGAAGCCTGAACTAAATCTCATTGCAGCTTCAGGATAACGTCTTTATTTCTCACATTGGCAAAGCGGACAATATGCACAGAGCAGAATGAACGCCGGGGGGCTTCCTCCGGGGGGAGTCCATCGACAGAGTGAAGGGAGAGCTCCGTGAGGGTCCTGGAGTTACACGGTCCTAACGAAGCAGAAGCGGGAGAGAAAAGCATAAATCCCTGTGGGGCCACACTTAATCCATTTTATTTTGGTTTCTACAGGAAACAAAGCATAAGTTACTGGCTTCTTTACCCACCAGCCCGCTCTGATACCTTGGAAATCCGTTTTGATAGCAGGACAGACGTCTCAAAGTTAGTAAGTATCTAACAGCAAGTATCTACAGCTTTTGAGAGAAATCAGCAACTGGTTAGAGGAGAGAAATGCATTTTTTTTTTTTTTTATTTTCCCCCTCCTCTGCGGGAAAGGCTGCAGGATGAGCTCAAGAGTTAATTGTTTTCTCTGGCTTGCTTGCTTGCTGGCCACTTAGTACACATTGTCTGACCAAGGGGCATGGAACTGGCTGTAGCACAGAGCTGCCTTTTATTTCCAGCCTATCTGTGGCCAGTTCACCCTTTTTCATTCTTGTCTAACTTTTGCCATTAGCATAAATAGCTGTTCTCTCTGTTTGTTTGTTTTAATAGATGGTGACTTTGTTTCTCTCAGTCTTCATTTTACTAGAGCCCCTAAGATGGGCTCTCCATTTCCTTGAGCCTTCTCAGGACCTTCCCCTGGACATTTTGCATCCCAATTTCTTGTTGTATTTCTTTCTGAATGTCTTTCATACTTAGGTATGTTGAGTAGAAAAATAAAACTATTTTCTGTAAGTGGTTAGATGAACATCTAATTTTCTCATAAAAATAGGGAAAAGAATTTACTAACCTGCCTTCTCTAGACAGTCATAACTTGAAATTTGTCCATCCCCCAGTTTATCATATCAATGATTTGAAGATCCTCTTGCAGAGCCAAACTCTGGCCAAAGCTCTTAACTCTCCAATGAAATTCATCTGAGCTACACCATGTGAGCACTCAACAGCTATGAAAAAATGAGCACTGCATCAAGGACCTTTGGGGCAAAACCTTTGTACAATGCTGGAATGGGATCTGAAGGGATGTTTTTAACAACAGGAACAGGTAGAACAACCACTCACGTTGGTCTGCAGAGGTCAATCGACATTAGCCATGTCAGAAACTCCTGGTTCAAAACATCCTTCAAATCTTCTGAACCTTCCAGAGAAGTAAAACTGCAAGAAATGTGCCATGCCATAAAGACAGAGGAAAGGAAACCATCCAAATGTGTATATAACAATCTTATCTCCATTGCATCAAGTTCACAGGTATATTTTATTTTCCTGGTCTTCTAATACCTTTGACTTAGTGCATTGCTTGCCACCTTGTCAATCCTACCAACGTTTCCGTTTTTCTTTCCCTGCTCTTGGGAAATGAGACTGTTCTGTACCATTAGCAGTGTCAGTGGGGAGGAACTGGGGGATGAGCTGACTCAAAGAAAGAAAGCCAGGAGGATTTCTTTCTCTTCCTGGGTTGAGCATGATTCAAACCTCAAGCTCTTGTCTCAGTTCATCTTTCTTCTTTGTTCACCACTTCCTATCTCCACAGCCAAGAGGATGCATTTTCTTCTTATTTTTCAGTACTGTGCAATTCTTAACTAAATTTATTTGTATATATAAAAAACTTTTAAAATCTTAAAAGGGAGCCTTTCCTCCCTCTATAAGCTGAAACAGCCACATACAAATCTCTGCCTAGATCAAGGATTAGTTAACTAAAAAGATCTGAATCCATATGACATTTTCTTCATCATCTTTTCCTCCAGGCACCAGTTAGATTTTTGACAAGGCTAGTCATTTGCTTCTTAAGAGAAGTCCCTCTGCTGCCTCCTGGGCAGTGCAGTAGAGCCATGGACTAGGAGAGACAGTTTGAAGGAAAGGACACTATGCTCTCAGTAACTGTTTTTCTGTTCTGTAAAATAGAAGTGCCAGTGAAGAAGAGTGAATAAAGGTACAATCTTCGTGGCTGGAGGTGTTCCCCTAAGTGTAGCAAAACAACAACACAACAGCAAAAAACAACAGAACCTATTTTTGACATGATGAGATCCTGCTACAGAACACTGCTTTGATCTTGGTCAGTCTGGGATATCTAGCACTGAATATGTCTGTCAGGCTTAGGAGAAGAGAAGGAACAGTCCTGTAACACCCTCTGCCCTCCCCCCCCCCATCCTCTCTTAAACCCAGCAGGCATCAAACCAAAGGCAGAATGAAACAGCATCTATGCCCCAAGCTCACAAAGGGAAGCCTTTGTTTCTGAGAAGGACTTTTTCACCCCACATATTGTGTTGTTTTTTTTTTTTGTTTTTTTTTTTATTTGCAATTAAGGAGATTAGGGGAAACACTGCATTTTTTTTTAATATTATTATTAAATGACGCTAATCAAGCAGATTAATCTTTAGCACCAAAAGTGTGTGTCATTCCCCCTCCCTTTCCCTCCCCTCCACTCCTATGTGAGAACAGGTTAGAAAAATATCTGTCAGGAGTAGTTTAGAGCAAGCTGATCCTGTCTTCTAGGAGAGGTCAGACTAAATGACCTTTCGAGATCCAACAAAGCCCTTGTTTCTTTGGTTCTGCATTTTCACTATGACTAGCAATTCTCAATGTCTGATTTTCTGGGTGCTTGGCCTTAACACCTCTGTGAAGCATAACAGTGCTCGTTTCCCCCAAGCCTGGGTCATCCCCCGCACCCTTGTTTCTAAAGCAGTTTTCATTCAAAGGCTGTAAAAGACAACAAATGCCCTGAGATTCTTGTTCTGAGTGACTGTCCCATGACTCCCTGTAAGTTAGAGGTTTCATTCTTTTATCAAAAGACGCTAGAATTGTGCCTGAAGGATGTGAGCTATGTGCAGTAAGTGCCTGTTTTCCTTCCTGACACAGTTTTGGTACTAAGCAGCAGCAACCTGTTAGGCTTTGTAAAATCCCCTTCATGTTAAAGAAAGGAAATGTTTCCATCATTTGTTGGCTTTAAAAAAAAAAAATAAATAAAAATAGAAATTGCTTGAGAACAGATTTTTGTTTGAACTCAATTGTCTAATCTTTTTGAACATTTGCAACATGAGGTAAGATTGGGGGGCAGTGAAACACGCTATTGACAGGCTGTGGATATGCTGACACAGCACAAAGCTGTGCAGCACAGAGAAGGCACTCTCAGCCAGATGGCTTGGGAAATGAAGACACTAGCTGGAACAAGAGAGAGCACCATATGGACTAAGTTACCTTCCTGAGAGGTACCTTTTAAGAATTAGATTGCATCTCCATCATTCCTGTAACCAGTGTAGATACATCCAAATAAAACTGCAATTGTCTCCAGTGACATAGATCGAAAACAAACTGGGGAATTCCTTGAGTCACTCGGGTATCTCTACTGCATAATTTCACATTTAGATCTCATGCTTTTCATAGTAAGAGTGTGTAGCAGTGATACAATGGCAGAACTCTTTTGTTTATTTTTGCCTTGTGGGACGATTTGATCAAAAATGTTTTGCAGGAATGTATCAGTTTCATCCCAGTTTTCACTGGAAAGTTTTCTTTTGATAGGGTTTTGAGTAGAATAGAATGGAATGGTTTTATTAGGTCAAAGCACTTCAATTTAACTTCTCCATTACTGTAGTGTTAGTATGTTGCAGGAATGGATGTGCTTCAGCCCTGTCAAAAGACAGCACTGACTTTTTTAAAGTGCTGGGTTTTGATGAGGCTGTTCTCATACTTCCAAAGGGGAAAAAAACAAAACAAAACAAAACAAAAAAAAAGCACTTTATATTTTTGAAGGGTGTGTTTTGTGAGAAATTGTAAAGTTTTAGAAGCTTTTTTGTCTTGGTTATTTTTGTCACTCATGAGACAATGGCAAAATATGGAATTCCCTTTTGAAACAAAAGTCTTTTTGTTTTCCTATGCTGACAGTGTTATCACCAATTCCTGCCCTAAAACATCCCTTCAAAAATTGAACATTTGGGACCTCATCCCTCCCTCGGGGATCAGACTTTGTATTTATTTCCTATTCTGCCAATCTCACCTCTGATTTTTCTTGTTTTTTAGAAGCCAAGCAAAGAAGTCTTTGGCTTCATGGTTGTGCAGGTCCAAGCTTTGGCCATTCACAGCTGATACTTGTGGCTCAGCTTCTCTCTTGTATGTCTCAATGACGTTGCTGAAAAGGCAAAAATGGGAAGAAAGACATCAGCCTGAGATGCCACAAGAGGGTGCTGAAATGCTGCTTTTCCACAAAACCCAACTCCTTCCCACTCCATCTACCAAGCAGAGAAGAAGGCAATGTTGGATAGAGAGAAGGATAGTTGTTCTGTGTGCCGACAGACAAGAAACGCTTCAAGGAGTTAAGAAAAAAAGAAAAAAGTCCCCAGAGAATCACTGCTGCAGTCCAAGGAAAATATCCTCAGCTCTACGTTATTTTGTAGCCATCAGTTGCCTGACAACAGCTGCCAGTTCAAATCATGGGAGCGTTGAAAGTCTGTGTACTTACTCGCTTTTCTTCTCTCGCCTGGCTAGCAACCATTCCACAAAGTTCTTCTTCAGCATGTTATCCATTGTGCGGCTGTAATCACTTGCCAGGGTGGCCTCAGAGTAGCGTTTTTGCACAGGTCTGGCACTGGGAGTCCTTATACTTATGCTACAGTAAGAGTACAGATAGAGTGAGTCCTGCTCAGACAAAGAGCAAGCACTATGCAGTTTTGCTTGGGTTGCATGGGATTGCCCATGCGTCCCCTAAGGTCAGCAAAGTTTTGTGATCACTTCTAATTCTTTTTTGGTACAGGTGATTGTTCCTGCACTGTGAAGTGAAGAGTTAACTGAGAAGCAGCTAGTGATCTCATCCATTTATCTGGCTGCTAACACATTTGCTGCTCACATTTGACATCTCAGGAGGAGATGAACTTGGGATATTTGCTGATGTCTGGAGTCAGAGTAGCTTTTCTGCCATAGCCTGATGGATATAGACTTTGACTAAGTGAGAAGACACTGAGTATACTCAGATTCCCTTCTCTAGTGAGCTGCACACACAGGGCCGAGGGAATCTTCCTGTGTCCTCAAGAGCCTGAGGGGTGGACAGCAGGAGACAAGGTCCAGAACTTGAAGCCAGTGCTGGTCTGACAGTGTAGACGTACTTGGTGGCTAGCTAAGTTAGCAAAAGATATCAAGACTGACCTTTTTTTTAGTGTTATTATCTGGAATTGCAGCAACTCTTGCTGCTCTAATAGGGTTTCTTTTAGATCTTCTCATGTGGTAGTTGGAAGAATCAGAGAAAGAGATGGAAAGTCTTTATGTACCTGCTTCACGTAACTGGCCACATTTTCAGAAGCTTTGAAATATCAGATGCCCCCTAGCCTTATTCATGGGAGACAATTACATTTTGTTTCTATTTCCCAGCCAACCTTCACTTCCTGGTTGACTTCCAGCTTGTTACTCCCAACCTGGAGCAATGTAGTTTTTAGGGAAAACTTGGGAGTTCTTGGCTCTGGCTCACAGGCTTTAATTTGAGACCTCTCTTATCATTTGCTCATCTCTGTATGCTTTGCTGTCTTTCTATTATCCAAGAGCTACCTCAGGACTTATGTTCTCATCTATTTACCAAGATGCCAAGGGAAATAGTCTACTTGCCTCCAGTAGGAAGCTGGAAAAGGCTCAAAATACATTGTGGGCTTTCCAAAACACTTACCCTGAGACGTTCTCTTCCATCAAAACAAAGCTCAAAGAAGCAAAAAGCAGAGAAAGAACTTTCAAAGACATCATTTTCTTGGCTGATTTCTCTGTTCAGAAGCAGAGGGCAATCCAGATGCCTGGCCCCTGGGATACATAAGTGAATGACAGTGAACCCAGAGAGCTGGGCAATGGTTAGGCATGTGCCTGTGCTTGTAAACATGTTTCTTTCCTTGTCCTTGTGCTCAGAACAGCCTTCTCCAACCTACAAAGCTCTCCTTTGCTATTCACAGTTAAGTTACTTTTTCAATAACAATGCTCTTTCACCACAGTGGTGTTTTTTAACGTCTGTGATTTGCACACTCGTGGAGGCAAGGACATTGTATTGTTCCACATTTACAAGCTGACCCTGTGGGTACCTCATTGTGCTTTAAGGGTCAATTCAGTCTTAAGTATGCGAACAAGAACACGCATTGGATCAGGCAATTCAAGAGCAAACAGGAGTTACATCGCATCCTGCTTATCCCATACTGCAGTTCTGCAGGATTTAGCAGCCTGATCTAATTCCTGGGAAACTTTCTGTAGGGATGGATAATGCCTTATGTCAGGACTGATGCCAGAGTCAGTGAATATCTGTTATGAAAAAATATCTCAGGATAGTGACGAGATCAAATTCCAAGATTTATTAGTTTCAAGCTGTTCCTAGTCCTCATGTCCACAGTTCAGCTCGGTAGACCTTGGACATTTGAGGACAAATTGGACAAATAACTATTCCAGCTCTGCAAATTCTGTACAAAAATGGTTTTGATCAAGGCTCTCACCTCACTCTTTGTTATTAATATTTAGGGAATGTGCATTGCACTGGAGAACTACTGTTAACAGGCGTAATATAGTAAAGAAGTCTAGATCAGGACTTAGATATCCTTCAAAAATTCATTCATACATTAGTGAAACTTTACTCATAAGTAGCAATTTGCATTCTTACAACTGCCCAATTATTATTCTGGAGAAAAGAATTTGTAAGTTTGGATGTTGTTCGTAACTGAGACTTTTCTGTTTGTTTGTTTCTGGGAAGACTGACTTTTTTTTTTTTACAAATGTTTTGGCCTGATATAGGCTAAATACTAAATGTGTTACATTATCTCAGAGATATCAAATCGAGAGAAATACTTTTAAAATCAAAGGTGTTATATATTGAACAATGGCAAAACCCATGAAATATTTACAGCTAAAGCAGTAAGAGGCAAATAGTTATAGAGTGTATTAATAGGAAAAGTAGGTTTCATTATACAAAAAGCCAAGGAGTATTTTAAATTAAAGTTGAGAAAAGTGTCATGATTAAATAAGAAGTTTTCCCTCTTATTTGCTATTCATTACATATATTACTATAGTTATGATGGTGAATCTGAAAATAGCTAAGTCATTCAAGAATATTGTTCTGCTTAAGATAATTATTTATGAAAATAGGAGAGGACATATACTGTAGCCTTAATTTTAAGAAAGGGTAGCACTTATTCTCTGCAGAATTTATCTAAGCAGCAAGGAAAAACAGTCTGCATTTCTGGAGATTGTAGAGAAACCATTCCTGAATTAATACAAGACCCCTTTGCCTGTATGATACTCAAATCAAGCTTAGTTAGTCCCACCTGGTGTGTCATTACTGCTAACTGTAGCTGTCGTTACACTGTTTTGATTTTACAATTTGACTCCTTCACAAAAGGAAGAGTAATATCTACCTGTGGGATCTTTACTAGGGGAAGGTCTTCAAATCCCGTGTGCAATACTATCTGCTTTGAAAGAAGAGTTATCCCTGTTTTATTCATAGCTGAAAGGATACAAAAAGCAGCTAACAACCAATTTCTCATCATTTCCCTGTGTAGGATATGTTTAAAGGGGCAGATCCCAGCCTGAGGCTTGCCATGTACTGAATCCTCCTCTGAAATAACGGTCTTTCCCTTTACAACATGATGTGTACTGCTGTAGTTCTTTTCCACCAAACCTATCAAGGAAATTGCTAGTCGTACACCACTTTAGGAAAAACTCAGCCAAAGGTACAGCTTGTTCCTACTCTGCTATAGATACTGTCTGACACTGTCAAGCACTGCTCACTCTCATCTTAGGAAAAAGAATTAAAGAAAAAGAAAAAAGACTGATATAGAGCTTCTTACCTTTCTACTCCACTGAAGCTGCTCAGAAGATTTCAACCAGTTCTAGTGCTTAGAGGAGACCCTTCAGAGCCTTTATAAACATTAGCAGTGTGGGACCAAACCCACTTCCATGAGGAAAACAGGAAATCAAGCACCTAATCAAAGTAGCTCAAGCCCACTTAGATCTGCTTCATTAGGTCCATTGACCTGCAGAGCAGGAAAATAACCTTTAAAAATATATTTACATTAATGGCAATTACACATTAGTATATCACAAAATCAAGAATGAATGAATGTGTATTGTGGACATAATGCATATGGTATTGATCTAAACCTTAATTCCACATAACACCTCCTTCCGCAGCAAAAGTTTTATTAATATCCATCTCTTCTTTTGAGAAGCACGAGTATCATCTTAGAGAGATCCAGTTTGCTTCTTCTCTCTCTTAAAGTTCAAATAACTGTGCTAAAACCAAGAGCTTCGATTGTTATTTTTGTCATCATCAGCATTGAGTCTGGGCAACCTGACTGTGGTCTGCAATTGCCTCATGCAAACCTAGATACTGAAAGCAGTATCTACCCCCCAAAATCTGTAATCTAAGAGGACAAAATTTGGGATGGATAGCAGCAGGCAGGAAGCTATCAGGAAATAGTGAGGCAGCATTGGTTAACGAGATGGAGGGTGGTGGCACAGCAACAGCCTATATGGGATCAAGGATGGCAGCAAAGTTAACCTGAAGCACAGCAACTATTTTGACTCCTGTCCTGAAGAAGTGCTTTATTATGGTTCTGTAGCTGCTAGGGGTATGTGTCAGTAAGGTAACTGCTTCATCTTGCCCTTGTACAGCTGGATTTAGGAGAGCAGATGTACCCCAGATGTTAATTACACCATTAAAGTGTAAGGGGTTAAACCCCACTCCCACCAGTTCCGCTGCAATCCTATGCCTGGTAAGATGTTCTCTGTGGTGTCTGACCTGCCCTATCCAACCCAAGTCCTATCTGGGAGGAGAACTGGGCCTACTGCATTTTAGTATGTGAGTTCTGGTTGGGGGCTGCTCCAGGGGTGTCTCAGCTACTCCAGGATCCTTGTTGCACCCAGGTTTAATCTGTTGAAGGAACAGAGAAGGATTATTTTTGTGCTATTTTAACACACAAGCTAAGCTCTATTTGCATCTTTCCTGAAGCAGTGCCTGTGGCTGGTTGTGCTGACTTGTAAAACATAGTCCTGTCTGTGGCTTAGTTTCCCTAAGCTGCCTGGACTTTTACAGGAGGTTATCCAAGTTACAACCTTCCCCTCAGGTCTGCCAGCACTTGTTTATGGAGTTCAGCTGAGCTGCTTGGAGCAGTAACCCTGCACACCTGGATTTAGGAGGGATACGTGTGCCTATTCTCCTGGACTTGGGCTGGCTTAGCTACATCATGGATTTGTGCATGAAATAAGTAGACTTCCTTGTTGGGCTGTGCAAGAAGCAGGCCTTAGTGGAAATGCAGTAATAATGGCAAAATTGAAGTGTATCAATGATTTCAGTGTGGGAGAGGGTTTCACTGTGCTAGCACAGTGTCCATGACGTAACTTGTCCTGAACAAATGCAGAAATCCAGCATGATTGAGGTACGTGTCTCTGTGTAAAGCTTCCTACTTTGAAATTCCTTCCTGAAACATACTTTTTCTGCCCCCTACCCCCCCACTGCCCCTTTTTAAAACAAATAGAATCATAGAATACCCTGAGTTGGAAGGGGTCCATGAGAATCATGGAGTCCAGTTCCTAGGTCCTCAAAAGACCACCCAAAAAAATCAGACTATGTATCTGAGAGCATTGTCCAAACACTTCTTGAATTCTGTCAGGCTTGGTGCTGTGACAGCTTCCCTTTGGAAAAACTGAGAAATCTTGTTGAGAAATGCTGCTGTGACACACTATCAGGCATAGGTTTGCTTCAACCACCACCTGTCTTCCTACACCAGGAGTGCACAGAGTGCAGAATGAGCATGCATCCAGCTTACTGCAGCCCTCCTTGGCAGAGCAGAACTCTTGCTACTCTGTAGTTACACAGCTCCCTGGCACAACCAGCCTCCTGGGCAAAAAGTCTTGTGTCTCTATTACATTAAGATAAAGGATCAGAAGGATATTTTTAGGGTAGATTGAGATTTCAGTGCTATTAGGGAGTAATTATTACGTTCACAGGAACTACTTAACATTTACTTTAATCCTCTATTAGTACACAAGCATGCCAGTGTGTTCAAAAGCTTTTCATCCATGCAAAAACGTCATGCCTACTGTACTAAATGATGTACTGTAATAGTTACAAGTAATCAATTCACACTCCTATCACAGTTGCTAATCAATAAAGTGGAGTAGTTTAACCTGGCAGCTTTATTATATGTATTCTAGGTACTTCACTCCTAGCCAACTTGGGTATCTTGTGTCTCCAAAGTATAACCTATTTGTTTTCCTCTCATTTACTGCCTCTGTATGATGTGAAGTTAATAGAGTGAAATAAATATCCAGCAACATTAAATGTTGACCCACTGTTCACAATTATGGTTATTTCAGAGCATCTGCTCATGATCCAGTTTGGACAGCAGCATCACTCTAAAGTTTCTCACAATCTTCCAGACAATAAATAAATCAAAACCAACCCAATCAAACAAACAAACAAAACAAAACAAAAAACAGGTATACAGATTCCTAAAGACAGCTAGGCACTATCTGCATTTCATTCCATCAGTGTGATATCCACTGATCAATGTGTAAAAGGATGAACCTTTGCCTGCCAGTTCAGCTCTGAAAAGTGCAGGGGCAAGGAGTGAATTGCAGGCATAGAAAAGGGCCATGTGCCCACATTTGCTTTTTTTCCTAACGTAACAGAGGGTCTAATTAAAGATGCAAACCTTGCTCCTCTCTAGCCTTAGCCCATCACAGCTATGATATGAGATGATAATGCTATCCATAGCATTACCTGTGATCTGCTACATTCTCTAATAACAAGTGGTTTCGTGAGCTTCAGCTGGATCCTGGCTTGGAACAAAGAGCACTTCAGATTAGGTTTCATCCAGCTGGGGCAGTTGTCTACCTGCACATTAAGCAAGAGAGCTGCTGCTGCCCCATTTCACCATATTCTGCTGCAGAGCACTTAGTGAGTGTGACTTTGTTAGACAGAGTTCTTCTCTTGTCTGTGGCAGACCTGGCTTGAAAAGTTGTTTCAGGAGTTTGGGAGTGTTGGGAAGGTCACATCTGTGCTCCTGAAACACCCCTGCTCTGCTTTGAGACAATGGAACATCTCAAGGGCAACTTTGATTACAAAGTGTTTCAAGTATTAGATGTCCCCATAATCATGGAAAATAGGTCTTGAAGTGACCTTAAGAGGTCATCCATTCACTCCCCTGCTGCCAGATGGGGTCAACTCTGTTTAAGCCATTCTGAATGGGTGAGAGTCTGATCTGTTCCCAAAAGTTTTCAGAAACAGAAATACTGTGAACTTCCCAATAATTTGCTTGCCGAGTTTAGCTGTAAGCTCATATTCAATAGCACAATTTACACCTATCTTTTCCTAGTGGATATGATGAGTAAGGTTTTCCCTTTCCCTCTGGAGTAGTGCTGTTTAATTGCTGTCTTGTGTGGCACCAGTTAGGGGATCTCTTATGACAGAGAAAGATTTCAGGTGTTGCATGTGACATGTGAAAATAACACTTTCTGCTCCATTTTGTTTGCAAACATTGGGCTGATCTGAGATTCCTGGCTGTATCCAGCTATGATTGCTCAGTATTAGCATCTGCCCTACTCCTCAAATCACAGGGACAGAGAGGAAGGGAGGATTTTTAGTTGCTGTTTTCCCTCCACCCTCATCCTCTCACTGAAATCACAGACATTGGAACAGCTTTCAAACTCCGGTCCTCATTCAGGACTGTTTTTGTTCTTAAATTACCTTAGCTGCTGTCAGAGGCACAGAGGCTCGAGGCTTTTTTGTGGGGCTCATTTCTCTCCCTAAGATACCAGCTATGATGTTGTGCAGGGATGTAACTTTTACATGCTTTGGCTTTGCTCATCCTAATCCATCTTGGCAGACCACAAGGTCCTGAATATCAGCTTCTTTGTTCCAAGCCCTTATCCCACAGCACAGATCCATCTTTCCCCTCTCTCCTCCAAGGACTGCTTGGGCTCTCACTGCCTGCTCATAGCCTTGGCCAACATACATGGATCCTTTATATCAGAAGTAGCAAAGACTTCTGCCTGATCCCAGGTGCCAGAATTCTGTCAGAAGACTCATGTTTACCAAAATGCACCATAGAGGCAGCTTCAGCTTTAGCTGAAGGCAGCGAGCATTTGTCTGGTTCCTCATCTCATCTCTGGTGCTTAAACCTATCCAACATCCTCATTTAGCTGCATATGAGACATGAGTGATGTTCTGGTTAGAGTTACAGTGGATCTTTCAAGTGATGAGCATCATTTCATCCTCTCTTCTGGGTTCAAACCTGCCTTCCCTTCCTGGGCTTGCAGGAATAGATTTTTTAAATTTTTATTCTTTCACAATAGCAAAATACCAGATATGTTTTTAAATGCCAGTACTCCCTTTTAACTGAAAAACAAACAAACAAACAAAAAACTAGGGCCTTTTAAAGCTTTTAGTGTTTTCTTTATTAATTCAGCTTATTAGCATGGCTGTCTCTGATCCTTCATGACTGGTTTTTATTTTTATTTTATTTTTATTTTTATTTTTATTTTTTTAAAACAACCCCAAAACAACCAACCAACCAAAACAAAACAAAACAAAAACAAACAAACAAAAACACTCAAAACCGGGAAACACAAAATATAGGAACTATGGACTTCTACATGTCCCCCTCTGCATCTATTTCTCTTTGCTTGAATGCTTACTTTACACACCAGGAACAGGGAGCTACAGCACAGTAACTAGTGTAGCAAAAAGCTCATGTAACATCAGTGCATGACAGATTTATTTGGACCACAAAGCTGTCTCTAGAGAAAAATCCAATGGCTGCACCTTTTACCACTGTGCAGCTGTGCACTGTCATTGCTTCAAATACGTGGAGAGGTGATCTGCACTTGCTATAGCATCAAAACTTGTCCTTTTAGTTCTTTACTTCGTGGCAGCTATTTTAATATTAAACATACTTTACTCCATCTTTAAGCAAAGACAGAGCCAGAACTAAGCAGCTGGAGAGACTAGAGCAGTGGAGCTCCAGGAAAGAAGAAATAATCAGTCCTGATAAATCCCAAATACATACCAGCAGGACGAGAAATTAGACAACCCAGTCAATGGCAATGTGCCTGCCCAAGTGGCTGGTTCACTAGCATGAAATTATTTCCACCTTGTGCCTTTGCTATTCTCCTAACATCACCTTTCCAGCAGCCCAGCGGTACTGGTGTCCTGGCACAGGTGGTGGTGTATGGCTCAGGTTTAGATTGTGAAATGACCTATACTTGTGACCCACAACAGAAACTGTTGCTGCAGAGTTACCCACCTCCCAGGATAAACTTGTTTTGGGTCTGAGGAATTACACAAAAATGAAATGGTATTAGTGGCTGAGCCTTTCGTTGCCTCCTGGACTTCAGGGACTTCCAGAAAGTGAAAGAGTGAAGAGCAGTGAGTGCTGCAGTGCCCTCATTTCTTCAGGGGATTTAAATGGTGACTCGAAATTAAAAGACCCCCAAATTTGTACTCATGTAGCATACATCTGATATAAATGTATTTCTTTCAAACTGGAGGAAATTTGATACACATGCCTACTGTTACAGAGAGGAAAGTGTTTAATCTGTGCTTTATAAATGCTGTGAATGTTTGGAGGGGGGTTCAAAAGATCAGCTCTTTCTTGAAATAAGGTCAGGAGGAGTTCAGCAACGGCAGAATTCATCCCCCACAATGCTTTCTGAACTACGTGAGTTTTGTTTATCATTATACCAAGACAAAAACTTTCCTCCACCTTTCTAGCCATCAGTAGGAGAAATGTCTGCTCCAGCTATCTGTCCAACTGCTCACAGTGATTTTGAGGAAGAAAAAAAAACAACAAATTGACATGTTAGAGAGGTCTGCTATAAAGAAGTGGTGGTATATTCAAAAGTAAAATTAAGGAGGGAAATGAAAAATTAAAGGGATTATTTGAACAAAAAAATTCAGGATTCATTCCAATATGTGTTTTATTTTCCTTGCATTTAGAGTTTACCGCTTAGCCAAAAAAAAAGACTGCAAAATCAAAACTGAACCAAATCAGTTCCATTGTGGAGAAAAAATACCTATGCAAAGCAAGTTTGTTTTGTTTAAGTTTGAACAATTATCTGAATGTTTGCAAGACCCAATGGAGAATTTAGGTTGCTGAGAGAGATGAGCACCCTGTCCTGAAGTGAACACAGAAGTAGCTAACAACCAGATGTAGAAAGGAGAAGAAAATAGTTTTTTTTTTTTTGTTTTTTTTTTTGTTTTTTTTTTTTGTGGTTTTCTTTTTTGTTTTAAAGGGACTCCATCTTTTAGTACCAGAACAAAAGGATTTTTTAGAATGTGAATTGATTTTTTGGAGCCTGAGTTTATTGCAGCATTTGCTCTGTTTTTAACTGAAGCACTAAAATGTGTAGGGAATATCCAGATCTTCAAACAAGTTGCAGGCTTAACCTATTGCATCTTCAGAACTGTTTCTTTTGAGCCTCCCATCTGAATAGCTCTTCCAGAGAGGAGAGGGTGTTTCCCATTGCTCAGCACCTTCCTTGGGGCTGAGGACACTCTTCTGCTCCTGAGCTTTTGCAAAACAACTTTTGAATGTCAAGATTGTGTTTCAAATGCACAGAGAATCAGGAGATTATTAATAAGCTACTTCAAACCTTAATTTTGTTTTAAATCAAACTAATAGTTTCATAGTAAGCTTGATTCTTCTCTAATTTGTCCACTCAAGTTTTAATCAACTGGATCAACTAGATTTTCTTAGATATGAGCTGCTTTTTCCAGTGAAGAATGTTTCCACATAACAAAAGCTGAACAGAAGTTGGTTTAAACTGTGATTCCACTTAAGTAAAAGGAAATGTTTCCAACTGCAACCCTCACACTTCTTATTCTGTTGAATTCTCACATACATTTTATGGACAGGCTTGCTCTACATTCAGATTATTTCTGTTAGCTGAGGTTTGTTTGAAACAGATTCTATGAAAATAAAATTATTTTTTCCCCTCTGTGACCTATGTGTTTTACTAAAAACTTTCAACTCATAAATATTTCAAAGTAACTAATACATACATTCAAACTTTTGAAAATGAAGGTTTTTCAAAGTTTCCAGGGTTTCCAAGTATATCTTTACTGTTGTCCAAATTAAACATTAGTGATATCACCAGAAATTAAAAACCAAACCAAACCAAACAACAAAATAACAACAACATTATTTAAAACCAAGTAACTGGCAGAAAAAATAACAATATATTCTGTTCTATTTTACCACTAATCTGTCATAAAGATTATTTCTATTTTAAATATTTTATTCCTCAGATCAACAACAATAACTCACCAGACTGCAGTAATTACACCCTTGCATTTGAAACCCACATTTCATTGAAATCCTAGTTGTATTATTTACCATCCAGTTTTAACCTTGTACCTTAAAAAAAATCCTGAAACTGCAAAGTGGCAACAGTGATTATTTGGACTTACAGATAAATTGTAAAAAATGATTAAGAACATTTCTTCATGACTCAAAGATTTAAATCTTAAAGCAAAACAAACAAACAAACAAACAAAAAAAAAAAACAAAACAAAACAAACAAACAAAAACTATGCCCCAAATCTAACAACTTTTGCCCAAACTAGAATTTATGTATAAAATCATAAGCAGCATTATGTTGATACCGAGTGTGGCTATACAAATTTGAAAATGCTTGTAAATTTGCACAAAGGAATCAAGTACTCTGAGTGATTTTTACAACTGCAAGAAAATCCTGGGGGAGGAAAAAGGCCACACATGCTTTTAGAAGTGACTGTGCCTGGGTGAAAACTTGCTCAGCTCTTCCCTAGCTTCAGATATCCCACTGGATTTTTGTTGCAGTTCCTGGTAGCATTTATATCTGCAAGAGAAGAAAGGTTTCTCTTTGGAGATGATTTTGCAGAGCTTGTTTGCCCTATCTAAGCTGGGGCAGGGGTGAATGCAGTTTGGGTTGGAGGGCAGCATTCTCCCTCATCTCTTGCCCAGGGATGAATGCAGCTCTATTACCCCCAAGCAGATCAATGATTTAGTCTCTGCTGTTTGCATTCTCTAAATACCTTGCATCTGGAATGCTCTACCAAGGGGAAGGAGTTTGACTGATAGCCTTCTTTTTTCAAATCTAAATTGAAGACTTCCCTCTTTGTTTGGATTTTTTTTTTAAAGTTGGTTTCTTTCATTTCATTATTTGAAAGGATTATGTTACATGGGGAAGGTTCTCTGTAAACTAGTAAAAGCAACAACAAAAGTATTCTAGTCAAGATTATAAATAGATCTGAAGCAGATAGTGGATCATTTATTTTAGCTGTATTTGTTTGTGATGTAACTGTGGAAGAAAGTGAATATTCCAGGTTTTCAGTCAGGCATGGCTTGAAGTGCAGTTTCCAAGCTGCATGAAATTTATTTCCAAATTTAATTTCTATATTCTGTTTACCTATGAATTTTGAGCATGGATTATTCATTGGTAGTGTGGGAATAGAAATGTTGTTTTTGCAGAGTTACATTGTTTAGAAGGAGGGAATGTGGTACTGAGATATGCTTACAGTGATAAGAAAGTTTAGCAGGCGACCTAGTAAAATGCAGACAACCAGTCTCCTTAGGACAATTAGGTGAAAATCACGGTGTTAAGTCAAGTCAGATAAGTGAAGAAACATTACCACTTCAAACAGTAAAAATGTCAAAAGAAATTTGAAATTTAACAGGCCGGCAACTGAAGGCCATGCATTGTTTGTGAAGCATCAGATAGATTGTGAACCTGGATTACCCACTCAGTGGGGAAACAGGGGAGGGTCCTGCCATCAAAAGGTATATAAACTGTGTTTTGGAACTAGTAGATGCGCTCTCTCCTGCTTCTGGGGCGCCCGCCATTGCAATCGCGAATAAATTACTACTTCACTGAGATCCTCGCCTGAGCCTAAGTTATTGGCTACGGAGTGTTTCTCACAGTAGCTTCAGAAGCATGCACATGGACATGGCAGTTCTACAAAAACTCTGGTGAGTTTGGTTTGGTACTTCCAGAAGAGCCAAGTAATGCAGCTGGAAGTATGGGAACCAAATTTCTCCTGGTGAGCAGCACCTACGTGTTTTTAAAGCAAAAATCCCAGCATAGTAGAATGGATCAGATACAGGAGGGAAAGCTAAGGACTCTTTGCTTTAAATTACTATTCCCCAGTTTTGTTTTTATTCATTTTATTGAGTTTCCTAACTCGCTGTAGGACAGAGCACAGAAACGTCCTTGGGTATGTGCATCTATTTTTTAAGGTTTACACAACTTCTGATTCTTGAATAACACCAAATTTATTTACTAACAAATTCTCCACGTGGCTCTTTCCCAGCACTGCCGTGGGTGGCATAAAAATAGTAATAATAAAAAGAAATGGTTAGAAATATAAAACAGCACAGCACATCTGCGTGGTACTGAGAGAACAACCAAAGAACACGGGCGTGCTGCTAGCGCCGGTCCCCCCCCCCCCCCCCGCGGCCTGGCCCCTCCGCGCGGCCACCCCGAAAGGCGGCGGGGGCGGGCGCGGGCGCAGTGCCCGCCGCGTGCCCGCGCAGAAGGCGCGGAGCCGCCCGAGATAAGCGCGCCCGGAAAGCCCCGAGCCGAGCGTTTCTATCGATACCCCAAAAACTCGTGCGTTCGGAAATCATTTGTCTGTGTTTGTTGTTTCTTTATCGGGGGGACGGGGAGCGCGGGACCTTCGTCCCGGCGGGCAAGGCAGGCAGGAGCGCGTCCTGCTCGGGAGCTTTGCGTTTAATTGCAGGCGCGGAGGGGCCGGCCCGTGCCTCTACTTGCAGCGCGGCGGGAGGGAGGCGCCCTCCCCGCCCGGCAGCATCCCGGGCAGAGCCCCCGGTGCACCGGGGGTCCCCCACCCGCCCCGTCGGGGAAGGCAGCGAGGCAGGAAGGCGGCCGGGTGGGTGAATGGGGGAGGGGGGCGTACTGCTATTTTCAACCCATCTCGAACCTAAATATAAAAAGTCTCCAGAAAAAAAAGCAGGCGGGGAGGGAAAGAGGCAGGGTCTCGGGAGGGGGGTGTGTGCTCCACATAGGTCACTTGGCCGACAGGGCGCGCCCCCCGCCCGGCCCGGCCTCGTCCCCGTCGGGGATCGGACCTTCTCCATCGTGGGGCCCTTTTGTGCCGGGAGGAGCCCGCCCCCCCCCGAAGGCTTCCGCAGGGCTGCACATGAAGGGCTTAAAACAATACCGGGGACAATAGCCCCCCCCCGGGGGGCTCCCCTGTTCACCCGGCCGCGCCGGGCTGCCCCCGGGGGGCGGGAGGGCCATTCTTCCACAACCCCACTCCCCTGGCGCCAAGGGACCGCCCGGCCCCTTTGATGCCGAAGTTTTTTACACCCAGAAAAATCCCATTGAGGCACCGGAGAAGGCGTGGGGGAGGGGCGCGGTGGGGGAGGGGCGCGGTGGGGGCGGGGGGCTGTAGCAGATGGTAAAGTGCCTCCGACGGGACGGGCGGAGTTGGGGGGGACAAGGGGTGGATGCGCTCCTCATTCCTCTAAGGGTGTGTGTGCGTGGAGGTAAATAGCGTAGTATTTAAATTAAAATAAATAATTAAGTGGAGGCTGCCCCCTCCCCCCCGGCCCCTCCCCCCGGGGGCCGGGCCCTCCCGCATCACCACGTGGCTTCCTCCAGCAAACATTTTCACTCATTTTCCAGGTCGGTTTTATTTAGAGGCGGTGCCCGGCTGCTGAGAGGCGTCCGGTGACACTCTAGTGCCACTCCACCGACTTGGGGGCCCCCAGAGCCGACGCCACCGCCTCCCTGCGCTCCGCCACCGCCCGCCGGAGCCGCCCGCCCCGCCGCACCCTTTCCTGGGATCCCCCCAACAGTCGCCGCACCCCTCTCCAAAGACAAATCCGTCAAACCAACAAATCAAGCCGAACTAACAAAAACAAACAAACAAAACAAAAAAGGATAGAAAAAAAGGAGGGGGCTTAAAAAAAAAAATAAAAAGGACTCACCGAGCCTCCGCCCCTGCTGTGGGGTGGCAGAGCGCGGCCGGAGTCCGACGGTGCGGACGCACGGTGGAGCCCCCCCGGCAGCCGCGCTCCGAGCCCCGGCGCGCCGCCGCCCGCCCGCCGCCCCCAGCCGCCGCCGCCGCCCCGCCGGCAGCCACCATGAACAAGCTGTACATCGGGAACCTAAACGAGAACGTGACTCCGGCCGACTTGGAGAAAGTCTTCAACGACCACAAAATTTCCTTCACAGGGCAGTTCCTGGTCAAGTCCGGCTATGCCTTTGTGGACTGCCCCGACGAGCAGTGGGCCATGAAAGCCATCGAAACTTTTTCGGGTAAGCGGCGTTCTCTGGCCCTCTCTCCCCTCTCCGCTTTCACCTCCCCGGCGAACTGCGGGCACCCGCGGGGCTCAGCCCCCCGCCTGGGCCTCGCTCCCTGCGCAGCGGGGATTTGGGGGGGGCCTCGAGCCCTCGCGCCCCGTCGGGGCTTGCATCGCGGCGCGGCGGGGGCAGACCCCGCTTTCCCTCCCAGGCGCTAGCGACGAGCGGTGTGGGGGTGCGGAGCGGGGACCCCTGCAGCCTCCTGCCCCGCGCCGCCCTCCCCCCCCCCGTCTCTGGGGGCGCCCCCCGGGGCAGCCGTGGCGGGGGCAGCGCGGCGCCTGCCCCGGCGGGGCTCGGCCTGGGGGTCCCGTCGCGACACGGGCGGTGGGCTGGGACTTTGGCCATTTTGATTTGAAACTGGGTTTCCTGGGGCATGTGATGCGTGGAATAGCGCGAAGGTCGCCATGCTGCTCGCAGACAGAAAAAATGCTCCCCGGGAAATTTCTAAAATTTTTGAATGTTTCCCCATGCCCGGGGCTCCTCCCGCTAGGCTCTTCCCATCGCTGCTCCCCTCTTCCCCTCCCTACCCAAAAATAAATAAATAAACGAACAGCAAAGAAAACCACCCCGTTTTCAAAGAGAAATCCATTTCTGCCGTGGAGTTAACATTTCTAGCCTTTAAATGGGGAGGAAGATTTCTGCCTAGAGGAGTTCTGGAGGGATCAAACATACGGAATTAAATACAGACGAAGATTATTTTCTCAAAATACTATTCTTCATTTTCGTTTGGTCAAAGCAGACCAGTATGAACTAAGGAATTAAATATTCCTAAGGAAGACTGTCCAGACAGCTAACTCACCACTCCCTCCCGCTGCTTCCCATTTGAAGCCAGTCTTGTATTTGATAAAATGCACTTGTGAAGAAATCAGAAAATGTATTTTTGTGTGCTTTGTGGTAATTCGAATTAAATCAAAAGTTTCACGTGATAGAATGTTATCCAAAGCTTTCTGACCCCTTCACCCAGATTATAAAAACCAGACACATTTTGTTTTTAGGGAAAGTGGAGCTTCATGGAAAACAGCTAGAGATTGAACATTCAGTACCTAAAAAGCAAAGGTAATACAGTGTTTTATTTTTTTTCTGTTGGGGAGGGAGGGGGGAATTGTAAGATAAAGGAGGCAAAAAATATATATATTCGAATATGTGCATGTGAAATTAGGTACGGTAGAGATTTTACTTTAGGTATGTCCCCAGTGAGATAAGAAGGCAGTTTTGACAATAAGCATTTGATTTCTTATATTTTTTTTAGCATTTGATTTCTTATCTTTTTTTTTTTTTTTTAAATAAAACTTTGCAATTAAGATTTTTTTTTGTTTGTTTGTTTTAAAAAATGGTTAAACAATTATCCAGCAACTCACCCAAGGTGATGAGTGGCTGAGATGTTTTGGGTTGGGATTTTCAAACTTGTGGAACTGAAAGAATTTCCCAGCATTGCTCTTATCCTCCTCTGCAAAATGGGTGAAGTTTGTTGTTTTCTAACAGAATTGTAAAGTTTTTGTTTGATTGTTTTTCGTTTTAAAGCAAAATTTGCTAGGATTGATGGTGAAGACTTGAAAAGAAAAAATATGGGGTTTATTGCTCTTTGCCATGCTGGGGAGGGATTTAAACCCTGGCAAGTGCAGGGTGCTGGCCTTAGCTTCTGGCTACTGTGAGCTTTTCTTTTTGGGGCTGGAGCTGCATTTCTTCACATTCTTGGTCTACCTGTGAAACGGCTTCACGGGCTGCTGGCCTTGCTTAGTCCAGTCTCTCCATGTTCTTGGCCCTTTGTTGCGTGCTCAGCTCATGTGCAGGATGCCAAGCCTTAGAGCAGCTCTGAAGAGCTCAGAAACTGAGCTGCTGAGTGCTGAGGGTGCTCAGAGTTCATGTTTTTGCAGGGGCCCCTCCATGGAGATGCTGCACCCCTCTCTGCTGGGTGAGTTTGTCCCAAACCCCAGTAGTCCACATCGGACCACGGTGCCTGATTCTCCCACGTGATGAGGCAGCTGCTTCAATGCCTGGGCACAGAAGGAGGTTGAAGAGCAAACTCTTCCTCCTGAAACTTGTGGGGCTCCCTCACCACTGAGAAACCCATCTTGGGACTCCATTTTAGGGCCCTGACCCCCTCAGGGGGCTGTGAAACTCTGCACTGATTCCTTCCTTGGAGGGGCCCCTCTGCCCCCCCTCAGTGGGACCATGAGTCCTGGAGGGCTGATCCCAAAGGCAAAAATCCATTTAATAATTTCCTATCCAAGTTTTTTTTTTTTTTTTTTTTTTTTTTTTTTTTTTTTTTTTTTTGCAAGACTCACCTCGTGGAAGGATGATCGATATTGCTCGTTACAGCACTCAGAGACTTGCTGCGGCTTAAATATCATTGAATGCAGGGGTGTTATTGGAAAGCCAATTACCCTATGAAGGGTAACATAATGACACTCAAAAAAGGGGGGAGGGGGCACACAGAGAGGGTCGCCTTCCCCCCCCCCCCCCCCCCCCTTCATCTCCTAGTGCTCTCTTAGTGGATAATCAATAGGTTGTGGGGAGTGGAGCAGATTTCAGGGTATTTCCCAGCTCCCTTCTTCCCCCTCTGACTCTTCCTAAGAGCACTCCGGGAGAAATTCAATGGAAATGTAAATATTTCTTTGGTGGCTGTAATTCAAAGAAATACTGGTTGAAACTTTACAATAGGTGGAAGCAAATGGAAGGTTAGTTAACACGGTTTAATGAGAACCAGGAGAAATGCAATTAATTATATTTTGTTGCTAAATCCCGGGGTGGGGGGTGGTGAGAGGGTGGCTTTTAATTTTAGCCCCATAGCCCTTGTCTGTTGCCTTTAAATATACAGGAGACATTTTTTGCTGTTGACTTTCCTCATGTGCTTTGCTTGAAATAACTGTGTTAGCCAAGATTTGGTTGTTCCTTGCTCAGTGATTGCCTGCTGCAATGGAGCAGTTGCTACAGTTACTTTGTCTTAGTTTTGGGAGGCAAGTTTGTATTTCTGGGACAGCAAAGGCAACTTTGGCAGCAGCTCCTAGACTTTGCTGGTTGTTTTCCCCCAGCTTCGGTGGTGTGTGATATTATGGTGTATTTTGTTATCCTCCCCCTCTGCTCCTCATTCTGAATGAAGGCTGAAATGATGGGATGGACTGCCTCTGTTTTGAAGTTGGTGGCTTCCGAACCCCCCCCCCCCTTTTTTTTAAGACTGGATTTTCCAGTTTAAAGGCACATATGATATGGTTAAAGTATGAGCAGTGAGGACAAAATCAGATGTTTTTGGTGTGATCTGAAAAACTGCCCCCCCATCCCCCAACCTGATCTTATTTTTTCAAGTGTAAAAATGTGGGAAAACAAGTCATGATCTATGGTATGCTTCCCAGATAATTTATAAAAGAAAAGCTTGTCTTTGTGGTTGTTTCTTTTATTTGAAACTGCAAATACAAATGTTCAGAAAAACTGATCTGGGTACTTTTATAAATAAATGTGTTCAGTGAAATTACATATTGTAAGGAAATCTTTCCTGCTGGTGTATTTCCTTCATTAAATTCTCTCCCGTCCTTAACTGTGTTGCAGAAATTGATTTAAAAATAGAGAATTTGTTAATATGGCATTAGAAAGAGTGACTGGTGTGTAACTGCTCCAAAACTTCCAGAAGAGTAAACTGATTTATAGCTGTTTAATTACAGTAAATTCTTCAAATAACACTTAGAGCTGCAAATTATCCTACTGATCATAGGAAACCATTTTGAAGAAATACTTTAAAAGTAGTACTGTAAAGGAGAGCCATTGATGATAAACATAACATTTGATTAAAACCCCTCCGTTTTAAAATTTGTTTAGACTTATTTTAACTATCTTGTTGTTTTGGAGTTATTTTTCTGTAACTTTGCTGATGGAAAAAGTTGGGGAAACCTAAGAATATTTTTTTTAACCTGAAAATTTCTATGTGCTTTATTCCTCAGAAGGTTAAACAATAAGAAGTTTTAAGGGGGAAAAAAGTTCAATTTTCCAACTCAAGATTAAAAATCAGTTTGGGGGGCTGGAGCTCCAAAACTGAAAAGACCTCAGTAGATAGCATTAGAAGGAATGAATGAAGGAAGGAAGGAGGAGGGGCAAGGGGGAAAAAAAGTGAATCCATCAAGCAGACATTCCAAATATGAGGAATGTGGAAGTGAGTCGACCAGAGAGAATGAAACCAAGTAATTGGGGGAAAGAGGGAGTTTGGTTGATAACAGGCAGTAGACTTAAAACTAGAAGTTTTTGTGCAAGGTATTTTTATGTAGAGGTCATTCATAAACAACTCTTATTTAGAAGGGTCAGTGAGTTCCTGAGTAGAGGTGGGAATTATTAAATGTTGTTAATGACATGAAGATACAGTGTAGCACATGGCATCAGATAGGGAAATTTTGAAATTGCTGGTTTTTAAGTCTTTGTTTAAATTTAATGTTTTTGCACTGGAGAAATACTTTGTGTGTGCATAATCATACAATAAATTGTTTGTAATGAAATATTTTAATACTTGATAACAGCTACTATGTTTTCTTTGTTTATATTAATCAGAAAATGTGCCTTTTTCCCTCAGATCATTTGGATTCTGTGGACAAAATGAACTGAAAAAAGTTTGGTAGTTTTTTTCATGTAAAATAAAGACTGTTTGAATACTGAGACAAAAAAATCCCCTTAGTCCATTTCTAAGGGCATTCTCTTCCCGTTACAACAGGTGTGCTTTACAAGTTATAGTATCATTACAAAATTAGCAACACAGCAGTGTTTGAAAATTGAAACACAGGATGAATGCTTTTTTCTGAGGATGTTTAATGTGATTTGGTTTGTTACTACTTTTCTTGATTACCAAAAAGGGTAATAATATTGAGTTTCTCTAATTGAGTACCCATCTTTGAGCTGAACTCTGCAATACTGAATTTACACTGCTCAGAGCTGTGATCATTTTGAAATTAATACATTTTAATATTTTCCAGCTATAAAAAAATAGACATAATTTGTCATTCAGTGATATATTAATAATTTGTAAGCAAATTTCATCAATTCAGTTTAAAACTGGGATAATTTGACTAATTTTAACAACTTGGGAGAATGACTGTATTTGACAATTTGCAGTTTGAAGTTAAAGAAATGCCTTTACATGTACTTCCCATTTTCCAAGTTGGACCAGTAACTGGGAAATAAGTACAAGAAACTGCAATATAACAATAAATTTTGTAGCCTCAAGTTTTGAACCAATGGAAGATGGATTTTGTCCTGTTCAGATGCCTGCTTCAGGTGTCTGATTTTTAAATTCAGAAGAAAATAATTAATTTGGTGGCAAAAATAAACTGACTGCTTTGGTGGCAATTGCTAGATCACAATCTGCTTCTCCAGTTTAATCTGCTTCTGTCTTTGTCTTTTAGGTTAAAAAACAAGCAAACAAACCACAGACATATGGATAAGGGAAGTGGGGTTAAAGTACTCACTTTGAAAATTGAGACCTTTCATAATTAAAAATGTAGAAGGTCTCTTCCCCCTCCCCCAACCCAAGCCCCTAGAAATGTTAATGTTTTCCAAAGTTAGCAGTAGGGTTTGGGAGAGTTCAGGAGGCTCAAGAGACTGCTCAGGATGGCACAAGATTAGCCCAGAAGTATGAAACTCCAGTCTGGGGCAGGAGGAAATGTCTTCAGAGCCTTTTCCTTCTGGAGATGGCATTATTGACTTGAGCACGTGCCTTTCCTCTTGTTTCCAAATTTGCTGAATTTAGCAAATTTGGTATTTCTGCCTACTTCAATGCAGCCAGAAATGATTTTTCTTGCTTCTCTTAATGATGCTACTGGTTTACAGCTTTCATGGCAGCTATAATACTCTAGAAATGGGGCCATACCTGTATGGCACAGGGAGAAGTGGGGAGCTTAAAGAAATTGCACAGAGAAGCACCTGGGGGATGCCAGTGTCTACCCCTTCCCCAAAAGTGAGGAGGACAGCAGATGAGCAGGAGGAAACCCAAATAATTCAGGGGACCTAGAAATGGAGGTTGCAGGCTTCTTTTGAGGAAAAGGCATTTTCTAGAAGTTGCAGAGACATTTCTGGGGTTTTGA